CACACCCCCCCAGCATGTGTATTGTCACTTCAGTTGTGTCCGACTCTTTGTGACCCTATGGACTGTATGTAGCCCACTAGGCTCCTCTGTCCATGGGATTCTCCAGGCAAGAATAGTGGAGTGGGTTGCCATGTCCTTCTCCAGGGGATCTTCCTGACCCAGGGATCAAACGCAGGTCTACTGAACTGTAGGCAGATTCTTTACCAACTTAGCCATGCCCCCAACAGAACCCAGACAGGGATCCTTGGTTCCCCCCTTCCCAAGACCCCCCACCATTCAGTCTCCTCCTGGCTCGCTCTACCCTCCCCCCAGTGTGGTGACCCTGTGGGATGGTGGTAGGTGCCCTTTTCAAGGGGCTCAGAGGAGTCGGGACCAGAAGTGCCTGCTATGGTGGGTGCAGGATGGCTTCCAAGGTGTCTGCTTTCACATGTTGGGTTCACCTGGGACCAAGTCCGACTCTGGTCACAGTCCACCCTGACCTGCCACGTGGCTTCCCCACTGGATGGGAGGTTGCTCCCCGCTTCTTCCAACCCCACAGCCTTTGCACCCTCTGTTCCCTCTGGCTGGAATGTCCTTCCTTCAGTCACCCCAGGCTGGGTTCTCCTGTCCCTGTCCCTCCCTGACTACCCCCACCATGCCCACTGGCTCACGGCCCTGTTTTCTCCTGTGTCACTTCAGTTCTCTCTCTCCAGCATAATTCTGTGTAAATCACTCTTGTTCATTTACATGTTTGCTCATTTTACTGTTATATATATATATTTTACCATTTTACTATTTCTTCCTCCAGACCAGATTTTGAGTTCTAGGAAGGTGGGAGCCTCGTGGGTCTTGTCACCTGATGGGACCCCAGGTCCAAGACTCTGCCTGACACATGTGGGTACTTGGTAAAGATGTGTAAGTCTTGCTTTTTTAAAGAAAAAAATTTTTTTTAATTTTTGAGGTGGACCATTTTTAAAGTCTTTACTAACTTTTTTTTTTTTTTTTTTACAATATTGCTTCTATTGTTTCGTGTTCTGGGTTACTGGCCATAAGGCACGTGGGATCTTACTTCCCTGACCAGGGATCGAACCTGCACCTCCTGCATTGGAAGGGGGAGTGCAAACCACTGGACCACCAGGGAAGTCCAACACTTCTAAGTCTTGGCTTTGAGACCCTCACTCACAGATGGTTCCTACCTGACCCTGCCTCCCTCCCCACACCCTGCCGCCACCATCAACTCTGGAGGTGAACCGAGTGGGTGCCCACTCAGAGCAGGGCTGGGCCACATGTTTACAGAGCCCTGCTGTGTTCCCAGGCTGGGTGCTGACCTGAGGGTGTAACAACTGGGATATGCCCCATGTTCCACTTAACAACATACACAGTGATGACAGAGGATTTAGAAGCTGGTAAATGCGATGGACAAAAATAGAAGAGGGCAAAGGGCATGTGGGGTGCTGGGCAGGGCGCAGGTTCAGAGGCGTGTCAGGAAGGCTTCAATGAGGAGGTGACGTTTGAATTTGGAATTGAAGGTGGTAACTGGGGAGCTGTAGGGGAGGGTACAGGTCAGGGGAGAGAGGTCTGGGCAGAGGGCATAGGCTGTGCAAAGGCCCTGGGGCAGGACTGTGTGGCTGGAGCAGAGTGAGTGAGGGGGAGAGAGGGAGGACCAGAAGGCAAGGGAGGGACCTGGGAGTTTTACTCCCAGGGAGGTGGGGGCCCTGGAGGGCTGTGGGCAGAGTGGGGCGGGGCCTGTCTCAGAGCAGGGCGGGGCCTGACTCGAGTGCAAACAGGGCTGTCGCTGCTGCCAGGAAGACAGACTTGGAAGGCAAGGTTAGAGCCCGGGACCAGGATGGCGGTGAATACCCGGGTCCAGGTGGTGCTGATGGGGGCAGCCCTGGGTTGGAGGGAGTGAGGTGTGGGTAGGTCCTGGATGGGTTCTGGAGGCAGAAGGGCGTGAGAAGGCAGCAGACCAGCCTCCAGGTCCAGTGGAGGGGAGAAGGCTGGCCCATGGGGCCTCTTCAAAAGCCTTATGTATCCCCCAGCTCATGTCCAACACAACTTTTTACAGGAATTTTGGGGTTATAATTTTGCTTTTAAGATCTCTTGGCCAGGAGCACACATCCCTCCTCCCATCGGGTTGCTTTTGTTGTCACCATGGCAACCACGTGGGAAGTCTTTCAGAGGCAGTCTAAAATGCTCTTTGCCAATGACAGCTAATAATTATAAAAGAACTAACACTGGGGACTTCCCTGGTGGTCCGGTGGTTAGGACTCCGAGCTTCCAATACAGGGGGCGCAGGTTTGATCCCTGGTTGGGGAACTAAGATCCCCCCATGCTGCTCAGTGTGGCTCCCCCAGAAGAGAACTAAGTACCCACTGTGAACTGGGCCCTGTGACATCACCTCTCAGGGCCTCAGTTTCCTCATCTGTAAACAAGATTAAAGTGAAGAGCTCACTCCAGGGCCAGGGAAGGGCATGGGTTTCAAGGATTCAACAAACTAACAAGATGAGCTGACAGTGACAATGCCGCCCACAGCTGTGCCCTGCCAGCGGCGGGAAGGGCTGAAGATGTCCCTCCTTTTGCTTTGGATTGCTCACATTTTCTTGGCCTGCAAACATCTCAGAGACTTGGCCTGGGCTGGAGGGCTGGGTCCGTCCTTGCAGCCTTGTCCCCAGGGGTCCTTGGGTCTTCCTTGATCCTCTGCCTGGGACACCCTTCCCCTCGGTGCACATCTGGAAAGCCCCTCATCCCCAGGTCCTCCCTTTGCCTCCTCCAGGAAGCCCTCCTAGTCCCCTCCAATGAGGCCCTGCTCCTCCTCTGAGTTCCCCTTTGGCTCCAGTCCAGCCCACCAGGGGCTGGGGATGGCTTGGTCTAGGTGACTCTGGAAAGGCCCTCCAGTGCCCCACACGGGGGTGCTGCTGGGGCAATAGGTGGGGTTCCAGGTAGAACAGTGGGAGCACAGGGTGCTCTGGTTGGGGGCCATCCCCACGGGGCACCTCCCAGTCTGGTAAATGTTTATGGGTGAGGGCGCCTGCATCTGGGGCTCCCTGGGGTCCAGTGAGCAGCTGCTCCCTCCTGCCCCATGCTGGGGGGCCTGGCAGGCCTGCTCCAACCCTTACCCCCACCCACACAGGGGAAACCGAGGCTAGGAGGCAGGCTGGGGCTGGCTGGCCCTGAATGAGTTTTTCCTCCCCGCTGTGGGCCCTCGGACCAGGCATAGGGTTTGGGCTTCAGGAGAGCCAGACTGAGGAAGGCTGTGTAGGGGTGAGGGGGGCGCCTAGGAGGATCTAGTTCTGGAAGCTACTGCAATGCAGGGGCCGGGAAGTGACCAGCTGCGGGGCCTTTAACCAGAGCTCTTGGTGGCCCCGACACCATCACAGACACTCCTGATTCTGAGAATCTGCCCACCCCGCTCCCCCGATGCTACAGGCAGGATAGGTGGGAAGGTGTGAGAGGAGGGGCAGGGAGGCAGGGCTGCAGGGCCAGGGACCTGCGGCAGGCTCTGCCCCCTACCGGCCACCACAGGGACAGGCCAGGCTGGTGCCGGAGTCAGGGACTCGATCCCTACTCAGCAGGCATGGAAGGGGCGTTCCCGTGGGTGGAGCCACTTCCCCTCTTCAGGAAAGAGCTGAAGGAGGCTTGCACTCACGTCCACTTGCCAGGTGGGGAAACTGAGGACAGAGCAGGAAAGAACCAAGTGCTGGGGCTCGAATGCAGGTCTGGGAGCCCTGAGGCCGGCTGGTCCCATGGCAGGGGTGAGGGGGGCATCTCCATCCTCTCTCAGAGATCCCCCAAGTCTGGACCTGAGTACCTAGGCCTGGATGTGACCCCAAGTTGGCGCCTGATCCCAGGCTACACGTGGACACCGATGCCCACTCTGGGGTGACGTGTAGAGGGGCTCGGCACGGTGGGTGGGGAGGCCGAGGGGGCAGGGCTGTCAGGGGGTGCTGGGGCTGGGGGTATAAGCAAACAGTGGCAGCAAGGGCAGCCCAGCTGAGAGCCAACGGGCTGGGGCTCCGTGCTCTGCTTCACACTCGGGTGAATTATTACCTGGGCTGGACACAGCATGAATGCAAGGCTCCAAGTTTGGCTTTCAACCGGATCAGGCTCCGGGAGAGAAGGAAGGGGAAGGAGGGTTGGGGCAGACATTGGGTAGGACCACTCCTGCCAGCCCTGGACCCCCTGGGGTGCTCCTGCAGTGCCCAGACCCCCGCCAGGACCCGATCCCGCCCCGCAGGGTGGGCTCTGGAGAGTACTAATTTATGGCCCGCTGAGGCGTGCTGGGACACGCAGGGCCGTTTTCTCTGGCTGCCAGGAAGAACTGAGCTGGTTGTGCAGAAAGCCCAGGCTGCGCCAGCATTCCGGGGCCGCCTGCATCCCCGGGCCTGACAGGCGGCCGTGTGTGTGAGGCCCTGAGTCCCTCTTCTTGCACTGCTGACAAGGGCCCCTGCCCTGCAGGCTCCCAGTGGCCTATCACCCACCTGTCCCACCTGATGGGGACGGGGCTTGGGGGCCAGGCCGTCTGGGGCTCTCCGCTCCAGTGCCCAGGAATTTGGAAATGGGCCGTGCGTGGGGCCTGGGCGTGTTTTCCACATGCTGTTGGCTTTGGGGGAAGGCCCAGAGTGGGACTGGCTTGCGAGCTGCAGGGGGGCCACAGGAAGGGCTGTGGGCTGCGGGGCCCAGTCCCCCCCACCACCCCCGCACTATCAGTCCCCAAGGCCATTCGCAGAGAACTGGCTGAGGCCTGGCGACCTCTGCCTGACACCTGCTCCCACGCTGGGGCCCAGCTGGCGCCGTGCCTGCCCCTTCGGGCACAGACCCAGACGCTTTATCTCCTGCTGCTTCCTCACTTCCTCCCACGTCTGCCCTGAGCCGCCCTGGCCTGTCACCCAGACTCTGTCACCTGGACAGGGCTTCACCCTGGAGAATGACAGAGGAGGAGAGATGCACACAAATATACACAGGATTTATTATTTTTAGACGAGTTTCACCGTGCCCGAGGTCCCAGGAGGCGGCAACGGGGCTCACACCTTGGGTTCTGCAAACACCTTCCAGTCTTCCAGTTGGCCCATTTTGACCAGCGCAGCCGCCAAGCCCATGTACGCACAGGCAGCGGCTCCGATCCCATAGCTGCGGGCTGCAGGGGCAGAAAGACTGGCATCAGACAGCACGCGGGGAGTGAGGCTTGCCTACGTCCACCCTGAGCACCGCCTGAGGACGGCCCTCCCTCCAAGCTCAGGGGGCCAGGGCTGGACCACACGCTCCTTAGGGATGGAGCCCTGGGGCCTCGGCCTTTGAAGGTGGACGTGTGGAAACTGAGGCGGGAGGCGGGAGGCAGGAGTCCTGGCTTCCAGGCGCGGGGGCGTGAGGGGACCGAAGACCGCTGGCAGGTCTCAGTCCTGGCCGAGTCTGCCCTGTGGTTTGTGAAGCGGCGAACGCAAGATGCCTGCGGCCTGAGAGGTGCCCCGGGAAGGGGGTTCTGCCTGCTGAGCACTGGCCTCACACACCCCGCTGCAGGCTCAGGGGCGTGGGTCAAAGCCGGACCTCAGCCAAGGTCTCCCAGCAAAGGCCAGGAGGGCGTGGCACCCTCCCTCTCTGCCTGGCTGGAACCTTCCACAGAACACTCTAGCCAGTGGGCTGGGGCGTTTATCTGCGTGTGGCCTCCCCTGGCCGGCCGCCCCCACCCGCCAGGCTACGGGTGGCGGGAAGAGCGGCGTCTGCTTCCTATTCCAGGCGGCTCTGCTGTACCAGATGGCCTGGGTCCTGGCCTCCCCCAAGGGAGTCAGCCTCTTCTCCATGTGGGTGACCTCGGGCCACCTCATCTCCTTGGAGCTTCAGGCCCCCTGTCTGGAAGGTGGGGATGGTGACAGCCACTCCCCTGTGGGGCCCTGGGTGCCAACAGCTCCAAGCCAGCCCCGGCTGCTCCCCGCAACTGGCAGTGACCCTGTGTTTGCTGACAAGACATGGCAGAGGGAGAGAGGCATAAGTGAGGGCAGGCGGGGGCCCAGATGTACGTAGTGGGTTGGGACAGTGGAGGGGGCAGCCCTGCTGACTTCTGGGGGGGAGGGTGTTCTGGCAGAGGGCACAGCCATGCAGAGGCCCCGGGGTGTTGGAGGAACAGCAAGGAGGCTGTGGAGCTGCAGCAGAGGGAGCAAGGCGGCGAGGGCAGGGCAAGGTGGGGACAGAGCCAGGCGGCCATGCAGGCCACGCTGAGTCATGGGGGGCAGGAGGGCGTGGCGAGGTGGACATGCAGTCGGTCCCTGAACAGTGCTCACCTGGCTGGCAGCTGAGACTCAGAGGCACTGCCCTCTTCCCCACCAGATGTATGTTCTGCACACCCACCCCTGATGGGCAGAGGGAGGAGGGTTCACAGAGGTCGGGGTGCAGGGCTCACTCACTGCGTGCTCCCAGGGTCAAGCCTCCAGCACAGCCTCCGATGAGGTAGTTGAGAGGGTCATCAGGCTTCTCGCGGACCTGGGCGCTAATGCAGGAGGTGAGGCCAAATATGGCTCCGATGGCGGCTGTGGGGGCAGATGGGGCAGGACAGGCCCCAGTCTGAGTCAGGGGTCCAGACCAGTGCCGGAAGGGCCCCCGAGGAGAAGCCCAGACGTCATGCAGGCTTGCTCACCTGCGGTGAATGTGTACCGTCCCGTCCTCGCCACTCCCTCCAGGAAGGAGGTGGGGGTTTTGAGGGCAACGCTGTAGGCAGAGACAACGAGGCCTGCAGACAGAGAGGGACAGAAAGGCGGCCAGGCAAGTCAGCCCTGGGCCCTGGAGGGGGCAGGCCCCTCCCCAGTCCACAGCGCCCACTCCTTGCATTCCCACGGCAACCACCAAGGTGGCTTGGGCCAGGGTGGGCCAGGAAGTGGCTGTTACAGGGCTCACCAGGGGCCCCACAGTCGATGAGCTGGGATCTAACCTGGCTCTCCTGCTCCAAGGCCTGGGCTCTCACCCCCCTCATCCAGCCCGCCCCACAGGGCATCAGCCCAGAACAGCCCCCGCTGAGGATGGGCCAGGGCCCTGGTGGCTGGACCAGCACCCCAGCCCTGCTACCCACTTCCAGCAAAGCTCTGTCCCCGCTGCGGGGCCCAGGGCTCCTGACGCCTCCTTCTCACCACTCGCAGACCCGACCCTCACCCTGGCTGGCTCAGCCTCACCACTCTCTCTGGTAAGCTCTTTCATCTCCACCGTTGCCCCAGATGACCTGCCTCTGATGTTGGTTTTTATGTGTGAGGGGCCCTGGTGGGCAGCCAGGCCCAAGGTCCTACCGTGGGGCATGCTGAGCCAATGCTGACCCGTGCTGTGTGTCAGCCTCCTCAGCCAGACCCTCTTTGGTGGATGTGCAGACCTATGCCCACCTGGCTGGCTCCCTGTCACCAGAACAGCCCAATACAGGGCTCCCCACCCTCCAGCTGACCCTGCACCCATCCTCTCCAGACAGACTCACTGTGGGGCCCAGCTGCCAGCACAGACCTGGGGCCAGCCCATCCCAGACAAAACAGAACCACCTCCTGCCAGGTGACAGGGCACCCACTGCCCTCTCCCTCCTCAGGGCCTGATGGGCTCAGTCCCCTCTTACGGCTCTGTGGGGTGGGGAGGGAGGGGAGGGGCCCTCAGACAGGCAGAGAGACTCCCTTGATGCCACCCACCCGGCAGAGCAGCCTGGAAGACCGGATGATCTGAAGGCCAACCACCTTCACAGATGCCCCAGGGACGTGGGCCCCGCCCAGTCTCCAAGCCTCCAGCTTCTGCAGACCCAGCAGCTGGCGTGCTGCACTCCCCCACCATGACCTTCCCAGCTGAGCAGCAGCCCTCCAGCCCTGCTGAGGTTCAGCTCACAAGAGCTGTGGGGGGACTTGTCACATGAGACAGGAGCGGTAACCTTGGGAGCAACTCCGAGGAGGGCCAAGACGGCCGACCCACTTCCCAGACGGGGAAGCCAAGGCCCAGGGATGAGGGGAGAGGAGCCGCGTATACAGAGGGCACCCGTACACCAGGTGCCCACTTGGGGGGTGCCCAGGTCCAATCCTTCCCCATCCCACACTGAACCCTAGTGTCCCCGCACTCCTCAGAGAGGCTGAAGGCTGGGAAGGAGGGAGTGGGCCACAGTCTGGGGCTCCCCCTGCCCACACTGTCCCAGCAAGCCCCTTTCCTCAGTTATACGAGGCTCCCACCCCTACCCCAGCTTGTAAACAGACTTAATCAGAGCAGCTCCCCATCCTGTCTGGGACCTGGGGATGCATGATCTCTAGACGACCCTCTGAAGAGGAACCACAGACAAGGTTCAGTAACAGTCCCCAAACCACATTGAGTCCTGGGGGAGAACCTTATTGATCCTATCCTTGCAGGCCTGTTTTCCTTATAGCTCAGACAGTAAAGAATCTGCTTGCAATGCAGAAGATCTGCGTTCAATCCTTGGGTAAGGAAGATCCCCTGGAGAAGGAAATAGCAACTCCAGTATTTTTGCCTGGAGAATCCCATGGACAGAGGAGCCTGGCGGGCTACAGTCCATGGGGTTACAAAGAGTCAGACATGACTAAGTGACTAACACATACATACCACATGCCTGTGACCCTAGTTGAGGGACACCCAGTTGCCAGGCCACACTGGGCACAGAAGACACCCCAGCATCCTACAAGCCCTCAGAAGTCCTTTAACTGGGAAGAGATGACCTGGAAGCCACTGGATTATCCCAAAGTCAAGGACTGTCCGTCCCCCACCCCCCCACAACAATCATTTAGTAGATGACATGCCAGCCCACTCCCCCAGCCCACTTAACTCCTCAGACACTACAGCCACCACCACCCACCCCCTCAGCACTCGAGGGCCTCCACTGACTTGGCCCCTTCCACAGGTTCCTGTCACCCCCTCAAAAGACCCCTCCTCAGCCCCTCTGCCAGCTCCTGGCTCCCTATCAGTCTTCTGAAGCGAATTTCAGACACTTCACATGAATGAATGAATGCACATTCATTCATTCATTCTCACATTCATTCACTCACTATTACTGTGTACCTTCATTCATTCATTCATAAAGTCATTCATTTATTCCTAGCTACTACCTTGCCCTCCTTCCCTCACTCATTCCATCATCCAGTTACTGTGTGCCCACAATGTGCTGGGCTGGATTAGAGCCCGGCCCCCTGCCCTCAAAGGGGCTCAGCATCCCAGAGAACTCAAGTGTGAATTCTCGCTGTAGAGTGCTGAGGGGAGGCAGGAGGTGTGGGAGGACAGAGCATGTGTAGTTAGGTCTTGAGTGTTGAGTGGAGCTGGCTGGTGAGGCAATCCGGGTGGCAAAATGAGTGTCACACAGCAACGCCCTCGAAGACCCACAGGCCCCCTTGCAGAGCTCCTGGAAATCAGTGACCGCCCCCCAAATTCGTGTCTCTCTATGACCACAGGACGTAATGCCTCTGTCAAAGGTTTCCACCTGCAACCCCTCAAACACCCTCCAAGATGCCCCTCTAGACTCCATTCAAGCAGACGCCACAAACACCCAGCACCCAGGGATTTTGACTACCCCAGTGACCAGCTTGTCATATGTACCACAACCTCCCAGGGCCCAGGAACCCTGCTAGCTCCCCTGCCTCTTTCCGCAACGTATATCTTACACCAGAGGTCCCCATGGCCGGCTCAGACACTCCGACGAAGACCACGTACCCACTCCGTGAGATTCTCAGTCCTCACGGGATCCTCTCGGACCCTATGATCTCTCTGCGCCCTCTGCGTTAGTCCGACAACCCCACAAAGCCTATCTAGTACAAGAGCCCCCCACCGTCCCAAGGCCACCCCACACACCCCAACGACGACTACTGCCACCGCGCGAGGTCCGCAGCCCCTCCAGGACACCCTCGGGCCGCCCCAGTGATCTGACGGCCTCCCTGCGCCCTATACCCTGGGGACCCGGCAGGCGCTCACCGGTGGCACCACCGATACTGGTGGTGGCGTAGGTCTTGCGGTGGCACTCGGTGCCTTCTGGGATGTCCCAGTACTGGTGAAGCAGCTTCTTAGCCATGACGGCGCAGCCCTGGTCCTGCACCTTACCACCCGGCGGCTCCTGCGGCCAAGGACGGGCGCCGCTGACTCTCGCGAGACTTCCTGGGCGGCGCGCGCAGCCTCTCGTGCGGGACAGCAACAAATGAGCAACTTTATTGAGCGCCGGGTACGTGAACACGGGTTGCGCTCAAGTCCTGGAGTCGGGATGGGAGTAAAGGAAGAGCACGTGTACCACTGGCCGATTTCTGAAGGGGGAAACTGACCAGGATCAGTGAAGGCAGTTGCCGTTATTTCAGGTCAGAAGATCCTGGGTCAAGAATAGTGTGACCCCGAGAGGTAGGACCTAACGAGGGGCGGGACTATAAAAGGTACTAAGCCTATCCACATGCAGAGAGGAGACCGCGGAGCCAAACTCTACTGGAGCGAGACGTCATTATGGGGCGGGAACACGGAGGGATGTGGCCACTCCCAGCGCCAGTATCTGTGGGGAGGCTTGGTCACGCCCAACGGCCAGTCTTAAACCTGAGTTAGCGGCGTGCTACTATTTGGGGGCGTGGTCAGGCACAGAATTTCTGTTCAGTAGCTAACTTGTGTCCGACTTTTTGCCACCCCATGGACTGTAGTACGCCAGGCTACCCTGTCCTCCACTATCTCCCGGAGTTTGTTCAGATTCATGTCCTTTGAGTTGGTGATATCTAACTATCTCATCCTCTGTCTCCCCCGTCTTCTCCTGCCCTCTATCTTTCCCAGCATCAGGGTCTTTTCCAATGAGTCTGTTCTTCGCATCAGGTAGCCAAATATTGGAGCTTCAGCTTCGGCGTCAGTTCTTCCAATGACTCAGGCTCAGGGGCTTAACGAGAAAGTGTCCAGTCCCAGTGCTTGGATTCTTAGCAGGACGTGGTCTGTGCCCGGTTTGTAGTCCAACCCCTGGGCGGGATGAAGAATGACCATCCACTGGGTGTGCGTCAAGAATCCCAAACATAACCTGAAAGGGACTGGACCAATCAGGAGCTGCACGATTGCCTAAGGGGCGTGAACGGCCAATGAGAGAAGCGTAACGGGTTCCAGGGGCGTGGTCAGACTTGTGGGGCCCGACCAACTTGGCGCGTTAGATTCTGAGGAGGGCGGGGCCTGCCTCGAGAGAATGACCAATCCTGTTGCCAGAACCTGAGCTGGCCACCGGAGGACAAGGCCAACCTGAGGCCGGAGTTTGTTAAGACCTTGGCCAATCTTGGAGTTAGTCGGGGCTCAGGGGCGGAGTTTCCAGTTGCCGGAACCAGTGAGGGCGTTCGGGTTTGAGTACTAGACCCAGCCCTGGAGGGCGGAGCCTAGCGGTGAACCCGGCCAATCACGCCGAACGGGTCTTGAACGGACCCTCGGAGGTGTGGCCCTCCGGGGGCGTGTCCAGGGCCGGTTCCGGGCCGCCCGAGGGCGTGGCCAGGCCTGGTCCTCTGCAGGGGCCATGTCAGCGCCGCCGCCCCTGCAGATCCGCGAGGCTAACGCACACCTGGCTGCCGTTCACCGGCGCGCGGCGGAACTGGAGGCGCGGCTGGAGGCCGCCGAGTGCACGGTGCGCGCCCAGGCCGAGCGCCTGGCCCGCCACGACCAGCACCTGAGCGCTGCTTTAGACGAGCTGGGACGCGCCAAAGACCGGTGAATCTTGGGACCCGGCAGGTGGACTTCTCGGAGGAGTTGGGCGGAGGCAGATCCGAGATAGGAAAGGAATACTGGTAGGAGAGACGTGGGTATTCACGTGGAGCTGGACTACTGGTGGGACTGGAAAAACAAACACAAAAATACTTGAATCATCACTATACAAAGTTGAGAAATGTCACTTGGGTGTGGCTAATCTAACTTAACAGGGTCCATTTTACCACTAGGCAAAACTGGCTGGTCCTGAATGGTACAGGGACCACCAGCAGCCTGGTAGGTATTGGAGCCATGGCAGGTTCTTGGAAGGATGGGATTATATTAGCAGTTTTGAAGAGTCTTTCTAGCTGAGGATTCAAAGGGATGAGACAAGCGCCCAGGGAAGAAAGTGTTTCAGAGGACCCGGTGGGAAACAATTCAGAGCTGGTTGGACTCATTACTTCATCTTTACTGAGCACCTACCATATGCCAGGCCCTGTGCTGGTCATTAGGGCACATCAGTAAGACGTGTACAGCCCTGCCCTCAAGCACACTGTTAGGCAGTTACAACACAGGGTGATTGGGATGTGTGTGTATGATGGCTGGAGAAGGAAATGGCAACCAGCTCCAGTATTCAACCTCCTAGTATTCTTGTGTGTGATGGAGGGCAGCAGGGCTCTAGGCGGGCCCAGAGGGAAGGCTTCCTGGGGGAGGAGCCATCTAAGCGGAGCAGCAAGCAGGAAAAGATGTAGGGGACAAGGGGACTGCAGGACGAGCTGGGGGTGGATGAGGGAGTGTGTTAGTCTGCTGAGGTTGCCCTTACAGGATGCCACAGACTGGGTGTCTTAAACAACATCAGATGATTCCTCACAGTTCTGGAGGCTGGGAAGTTCAAGATCCAGGCACTGATTCAGTTCTGGTGAGGGTCCTCTTCCGGGCTTGCCAGCAGTCATCTTCTCACTGTGTCCTCACAAAGCACAGAGAGAGAGAGAGAGAGAGAGAAAGTTCTTTGGTATCTCTTCTTAAAAGGAAACCCCTCATTACATCATGTAAACTTTCCTCACCTCTCAAGGCCCTCTTCTCCAAATACTATCACGGCATAGGGATTCAATCTATGAATCTGGGGATGGAGGTTGGGAGCAGGGGGAAGAGAACCTCTCTGGTGCCCGGGTACCATAACGATTCTGTCTTGCCTTCCTGCCAGTGAGATTGCCGCCCTCCGGGAGCAGCTGCTGACATCGGAGGCTGCTGTCCAGAGCCTGCAGGCTGCCGTGCGCCAGAGGGACAAGCTCATCGGGCAGTTGCAGCACCGGGCTGAGCTGCTGCAGGATCTCTGCCGCCGCCGGCCACCCCTGGCTGGGCTGCTGGCTACCCTGGCTGAGGCCGAGCGCCTGGGGCCCCTGCCAGCCAGTGACTCACTCCCTGGTGGGTCCAGCTCACCTCTTGCCAACAGTACTGGGGAGGAAGAAGACAGGGACGAGCTTGAGCCCGCAGTGTTTGGGACCACTGTGTGAGTCCCAGAGAGCAGGTTCCGGAATGGAGATAGAGGACTCCAGTGGGTCTTCTACTGCCCGGGTATTCTTACGGTTAAGATATCCTAGAGAGGACCACTTGGAAGAGCCATAATCCTCAGTGTCAGAACCTGTTAAAAAGGCATAGGTTTCATATCGGTGGCCTGCAGGCCAAATGCAGATGAACTCAGCCAGTTTTTCTTTTTTTTTTTTTTTAAAAGCAAAACTTTGAATCAATCACCCTTGTTGGAGAACTGGCTGCGCTTACACACAAATCTGGATTTCTGGCTTCGGGCTGGGCTGTACCTGCCTGGATCTGAGTCCAGGACATCCTCTTTAGTGAGGGCAAGTTTCCATTCGCCCCCTCATCTCTTGAGGCCGGATGTCTGGCCCCTGAAACATCTGAGTCAGAGACCTCTCTTTTTCTGGTGGAGGCAGATGGCATCGAGTGCCGTGTGATTTGAGTCTGTCCCTCTTTTCTCCCCTGCCCTTGTTTTTGTTCCTCCAGAAGCACTGTTCATCCTAAAGCCTTATTCTTCATCTCAGTCCAGTGAACCTCAAGCCTCAGGCCATTTCACATTGGTTATATGAAGATATTTTTTCCCCTAATTCTGTCCTCCTCTCAACCCAGGAAGGAGTGTGTGCAGGTGGGATGTGCTGACATGCTGGCAACCAGGCTATGCTGCCCAGGCAAACTCAGGCATCCCGTAACCTTCTCTTGATAGCATCCTGCCTCGGGGCCTTTACACTGACTGTTTCCTCTGCCTAGAATGCTCTTCCCCCCAGATGCCACATGACTGGCTCCTGTTCACTCAGGTCTTTGCTCAAACGTCATCTCCTCTTAGAGGGCTTCCATGACTGCCTTATCAGAAGTCATTCTTCCCCATTCCACCCTGCTCCCATTGCCCCACTTTACTTCCTTTATGTAACTTTTTACCATTGGAGTGGAAGCTCCATGAGGGCAGGTTTTTGTTTTCTGTCACCAGTGCCTGGCACACTCTAGGGCCCAGCACATCTGATGAGGCCCCCGGCAACTTTCCTTTCAAAGCACCAGCTGGCTCCTTTCTCTAATCCCCAGAGAATCTATTTTTTCACTCCTTATTTGTATGCTGCCCTTGTTGGCCCGAGATGTTTGAGGCACTTTGCTTTTTTATCAGAACAGGGAGCCCTGTGCCTTTCTCTGCCCAGCCCAAGTGCCTGGCCTGGGACTATGGCAGCCGTTTCCTGCCTCCAGACTCAGGGAATCCCCACCCTAGGAACCACTGCGGGGCACAGCCCCTTTCAGCCCGGAAAACTCAGCATCTGTCCTCTGCCCTGCGGAGGGTGCCTCCTGGTGTCGCACAGCGACCCCTCAGTGTGGTAACAATGGCCCAGTTTTCTCCTCTGGACGAATAAGGGGGGTGCTGTTTGAACAAGGGGAAGGCAGGCTAGGGCCTGTCTATGCTCAAGAATAAACCAAATGATTTCATGGCACCATTGGTCCCTCCTCCTCTCTTCCTACTGTGGGGGCTGGAGAGGCGGCTGCTGTGTTGCTCCTGGGTCCAGGGTGGGCCCCACGGGGTGGGAGCTTGTGCCAAGCGCTTCACATATACAGCTCTGTCTCTTAAGCTGCCTATGCACACAGGCATTGCCCCATTTTATAGCCGTGTGAAGTGAGGCTCAGAGAGGTCAAGTGAAAGGGCCTCTGGGTTTGGAGGGCCCTTGCCACTTTCAGTTTTAAGTAAAGTTAATTAAAAAACCATTTTATTTGGCTGTGTCAGGTCTTAGTTGTGGCACATGGGTTCTCTGTGGTGACACAGAAGCTTAGTTGCCCCATAGCATGTGGGATCTTAGTTCCCTGACTAGGGACTGAACCTGTGTCCCTCGCACTGGAAGGCAGATTCTTAACCACTGGACCAACCAGGGAAGTCCCCTCCCCCATTTTTTATTGTTGAGATTCTGATTCTCTCAAAGATGTGGAGATGCCCAAGCAGAGCTACAATAATTGTGATTACATTTTACATTTCTTTATAGAAAAAAATCCCTGACATTTATAAGCCTTATGAAGGCAAACAATGGAGCCATTTCTTTGTGCCTATGCAGAGAATGTTGGAGTGCAGCGAGTCACGAGAACTTCTGCAGCAGAATGTCACTGCAGTTTCTCGTAACAATCAATGGTGCTGCATCTGCTGTGGCGTGGATCACAGTGACAGGTTGCTTGATGATCCATGGCTTGGCTTTGGTCAGGAGCAGCAACTTCTGACAATACCATTGTACTGTGTGCAACTCCCAAGCTTTGAAAAGGCTCTGATGATCTCTGGGTCTCTGTGGGTGGGCAGGGGTTCCCCAAACAGGGGCCTGCATTTTAAGTCCTGGGAAATCCATTATCATCTTCGATCCCAGCCTGCTGATGTGAGGCTCAGTTGGCCAGATGTCCAGTCTGATGGCAGGCCTTCTCTGCCGTGGTCTTGGTTTCTCTTGGATTATGGAAGTCAGGGAGTCAGGGGTCCTTCTCTGGCCAGATAAGCGGCTTGTCATGAGCAAGCCCACCAAGTGATGTCTGAGAACCGGAGACCAACCCCCAAAAGACCCATGTTCACAAAAATACCATGACTGGCCATAATTAACTACTGAGAATTGCTTCGTCCAACTCAACATTGCTGTTTACAACACTGGCTGCATCTCGGCTCAGCCAGCACTGGTCTGAGCAGCTCCTGTTGGACGTAGGCCTGGGCCATCTTGAGTCTTTACACTTGAATTCCTCAGCAGCTTCAGCTGCAGCCCTGTGGAAAGGGGCTGGAGGCTGGTGAAGCCCAAAGCGGGGAGGGGTCACATAGGAATTGGGCCGAAACTCCCCTCATCTGGGGACTGGTCCCTGCAGGGTTGTGACCCCCCCCTTCCTCCTCGTGGTTCTGAAGCACCCCTCCCCCACTCCCTCCACCCTCCTTCTAACCTGGGTCTGGCTCTCTCCCAGAGCTGGGAGAAAGTAGGCGGGACGGTGGTTGGGCAGTGGTGACAGCAGTGCTGGCCTGTCCTCCTCAGCCTTCCATACGCCCCCGGCAGGGCTGTGCTGTGGTCACAAGGCCCTGGCACAGAGAGAGTTACAGCTGGGGCCCCTCCCGGTCTCCAGGGCCCTGTCCCCTAGCAACAGCCCTGCCCAGCAGGACGCACTGCCAGCGCTGGGCAGAGCAGGCAGGAGGCAGGCAGAGCGGCCACCCGGACTCCAGGACAGATCAAGGCAGCCAGTCCGTAGCCTGGTGGCTGAGTCGGAGCCCCCCCCCAGATCTCTCGCCCATCCAGCCACCCAGAGAGCCCGGAGCCAGCATGGATGCTGTGGACACCACCATGGAGAAGCTCCGAGCCCAGTGCCTGTCGCGAGGGGCCTCGGGCATCCAGGGTGTGGCCAGGTGAGCTTTCATGTCACATCTCCCCGACCCCCAGTCCCACGGATCTTTTCTAACCCTGCACCCCTGCCCCCAGATTTTTCCGCCGCCTGGACCGGGATGGAAGCCACTCCCTGGATGTGGGGGAGCTCCAGCGGGGCCTGGCTGAGCTGGGGCTGGTGCTAGATGCAGCTGAGACGGAGGGCGTGTGCAGGCGCTGGGACCGTGACGGCAGCGGGACGTTGGACCTGGAGGAGTTCCTGCGAGCGCTGCGGGTGAGCTGGGGGTGCCGCACTCTCCTGGGCCCATCGGTGTCGGTGTGGAGATCAAGGGGAGCCTCTGTGCTTCGTACCCCCCAGTCACCACCACACCCTCCCCAGCCCCCCATGTCCCAGGCCCGGGAGGCGGTCATCGCAGCGGCGTTTGCCAAGCTAGACCGCAGTGGTGACGGCGTGGTGACCATGGACGATCTCCGGGGGGTATACAGTGGCCGCGCCCACCCAAAGGTGCGGAGCGGGGAGTGGACTGAAGAGCAGGTGCTCCGCCGTTTCCTGGACAACTTCGACTCCTCCGAGAAGGACGGGCAGGTGGGTACATGCATACTCCGGTCCCTTGCCCACACCTCCAGACCCCCCCAACCGCCTGTCTGCCCCCAGGTCACGCTGGCGGAGTTCCAGGACTACTACAGTGGTGTGAGCGCCTCCATGGATACAGATGAGGAGTTTGTGGCCATGATGACCAGCGCCTGGCGGCTGTGAGCCGTGCACCCCCATGCAGCCGGCACCCTGGAGCCAAGGCCTCTCTCATCTGGGCTTGGAGCTGAGCAGCCCTGGGATGGGGGTGGGGAGGAGTGTGGGGGGACTGAAGCCACAGAACCCGCTGTACTGCTTGGCTACCAGTTCCCCTGATGACTCACTGGCTCAGGACCCCAGGGGGAAAGGCCCCTTGCCCACATCGTGCTGATCCCAAAGCTCCTCACATCCCTGCTCAGCGAACCCTGCCTGCCAGCACCCCCACCCCTCCCTGTGGGTCCCCAGGGAAGCCAGGCCGCACCTGGTGGGGAAGCGGACAGCTCTTGCGTGAAGCTGGCCACTGTGAGTCTTGGAAGGCGGCCATGGGTCACCTGCCCAGGTGTGCAGTGTGGGGCAGAGGCCGCCACCCTGCAGGCAGGCCAGGCTGCTTCCTGGTCAGGTTGTCCGGCTTCCTGAGGCCCCTGGGGCACGCAGGAGGCCAGTGTTTTAGTTAAAAGTTTTAATGTAGTTCCCAAATACATTTCATATGACAATCTTACATAAATGTTTCAAAACACGTGGGCATTATCTGGTTTTACTTGTCACTAGTTGACTAAGGCTTAAAGCAGAGAAGTGTGACCGGATCTGCTGCGGGGGGGGGGGGCCTTTGGTGATGTCCTGTGGCTCAGGCGCGGGCTGCAGGGCCACCCCGGGGTGCGGGTGGCGTGGCTCAGACGGCCCCCTCCTCACCCTGTCAGGGCGGCTGGGAGGTTTCCTGTGAAGCCCTGGCGTCCTGTGCACAGAGACCTCCTCTGCGAGCCCCGACATGGGGGGAGGCAGCGCCCAGCTGCTCTTGGCCATGCTCCGGGGTGGGGCAAGCAGAGGGCACGCTCCTGTGTGTGCTGCAAGCATGGGTTCTGCCTGCTGTCTGAAACCGCTCTGCTTGCTGCCCCCTCTTTGAAGGCCCCGCCAGGGCTCCCCTCTCAGAGGTCCCCAGCCCTCGACAGTCTTGGGGGCAGAGACGTCCAGGGCCTGGTGAGAAATGGCCAAGGGCAGGAAGCAGGCTTGCACCTGGGCACCCGAGGATGGGTGACCCATGTCACGGGGACAAATAGGAGGATGGTGCCCACCCCGACTCCAACCATGTCCAGTGACCCTTTTCTAGATAAGCTCTCCAGGCCCAAGGCCCAACCTGTCCGCACCCCATGACTCGGCCTGGAGGAATCCCAGGTGGGGAACCCATGGGGCTGGCTCTCGAGCAGTCCTGAGCACCCCCAGCGTGGGGGCTGGGGTCACAGGGGGAACCAGGGTGCAGCCCACAGTGCAGCCACGCCTGCTCGACACACAGAATTGCCTCACTCGACCTAGGAGACCAACACAAAGCCTTGGGGGCAGAAAAGATGTAAAAATAAAACCCCCAAGTCAGAAGGTGGGGGCAGGAGGTAAAGATGGTGGTAACAGACGGTCCAGCAGGCCCAGTGTTACACTGTGAGATGGCCCGGCGGCCTGGGCAGGCGGCGGGGGAAGCCGGCGACACAGGGAGGGCGGGGTGAAGAAACGAGGTGTCCCAGTCCCAGTGAGAAGCCGTGACAAGTCTTAATGTGCCATTTCAATTCAAGGTGGGGAGGGAAGAAATGTTCTTTTTCGTTTTGCTCATCAATATGATGAGGTTCGTGTCCCAAACCACATTCAGGCAGTTCCCGAGTCTGCTTCTGAACGGGACGTGCGGATCCAGACTGTGGCCAACCCAGCGGGGAGTGTGGTTCCCGAGCCCCGTGCCTCGATGCTGCCGGGGGTGGGGCGGGCGGGCAGACAGACGGACAAAGCAGCAGGCTCGCGGCGGCTGGCTCCTGGCGCTATGTGCTCCCGGCCGTCTGCCCATCGCCTTCATCGCCAGCGCCTGTGGAAAGCGGTGGCCTTGCCATCAGGTCCCTGCCTGGGATGCAGCCCTGACCCGGGCCACCCTGGGACGCCCGACTCACCGCCTGCAGGGGCCCCCGACGGGGCCAGCACATCGTCGTCGTCACTGTCGTCCTCGTTGGATGGGGCGGCCCCAGGCTCGGGGGCTGGTGCCTTGGCCTCCTGCTCCTGCTCCACGCGGCTGCGTAGGGCCAGGATGCGGTGGTGCAGCGCCGCGTAGAGCTGGCCGGTGTCCTTGGAGCTGGCCTGGGGGCAGGAGGGCCAGGTGACTAGGTCTCTCGGGGAGACCCCTCCTCAGTCAACGAAGCCCCCAGCTCAGGACTCGGGAGTGGGGAGCCTGACCTCCCTCCTCAACAAGCCCCGAGAGCAGCAGACCGGAGCTCCTGCAGGCTCAGGGCTTGTCCTCCCAAGGGGTCACAGAGCCCACGAGCAGGCCAGCCCTCCTGACCCTGGAGGCCTCCCTGCTCTCCCTGGCCAGGCCCCCGTGCAGGGCGCCCAGTGCTGGATGTGGAGCTGCCCGCTTGTCTGGCAGCCGCCTGGCCTGTGCCCGGGGCTGCTCACCGAGATCAGGAAGACCTTCACACCCTGGTCCTCAGTGTCCATGGCCGTAATGCGGATGCTCTTCTCGCTGGCCTTGTCCATCTGCATCTGGGCCCACAGCTTGGTGTTAAGGATTAGTCGCAGGCTGCCCTGGGTCCGCATCACTGCAACCAATGAAGATGTCAGTCCTGCCTGCACCCGCCCCCAACCCCATAAAAACAGACACACCTGCAGGAAAGTCAACATCCCAGGGAGAAATCCCACGACAGTCTCCCACATGCCCGTCTGCCGAGCAGCAGCCCTGGCACCCCCACCACTGAGGTGCATGCAGTGGGTGGAGGTGGTGCCTGGACGGGGCTCCCCAGGTTAGGGGCTAGTTAGCAGCAGTGGAGGGCATGCTGCATGGGGGTGGGCTGCACACTGGGGACATGCCACGTGAAGCTGACACCCCCTGACTGTCGCTACCCCGTGAGGAGGAGCTGAACACTAGGAGGAAATGCTGGGGCTGACTGCTGTTCAGAGCTTCCCTCAGGAGATGGCTGAGGGCAGCACGTGGTGGAGAGAACCTGGGACAGACCCTTCCCTCCAGAAACGCAGGTGAGACCTGAGTTCTACCCACAGCCAGCCCAAGGCCAACGTCGTCCTGCTTGACCTGTCCCAGCCTACCCCTGTCTACGCCCCAGCCCTTGAAAACCTGGAGCAGGTTAGATGTGGTCACCCCCACCCAGGTGCCCCCACCTTGCCCCTCAAGGTGAGTTCTGAGGGAAAGTCTGTGCCAAGGGTCAAAGGCTGTGTGGGGTGAAAGGAGGGCATGGCCAGAAAGGACCTCGACGAGGAGGGGAGGGCAAGGCCGCAAGGAGGCTGGTCACAGGCTGATGACCAGGGGAAACGCCATGAGATGGGGTCTTGAAATCCTGTGCCTTCTCTGCCCTCTGCTTGCACGTTTCCATTAGAAAAATTGAAACAGAAACAGAGGCATGCCTATGGGCAGTGGTGCAAAGACCTGTGCCCGAACAGGAGGGCCATTTCCATTTCTGTTCTAGTTCTGAGCCCAAGCACATAAAAACACCGCTGAAAAAAAAAAAAAAAAAAAAAAACACACCGCTGAAAGGACACAGCGCCAGCTACACCTGGGCCAGGTATCGACATTTCTGTAAAGGCTGGACAACAACTTTTAATTTGGGAGGATAACTTACAAAAAAAAAAAAGATGAATATACATGTCTCACACATATGCAAACACGCTCACACACATTCTTTTTGTAACAATTATACTTCCAGGAATAAAACTCATGTGAAAAATAGTACCAGAAGCATTATTTATGAGTCAAGAAAAATTAGGAACCCAAACGTCCACCAAAAGGGAAATGGCTAAATACATTCAGCTGGTGGAATATTAATGTGGAAGTTTTTCAAGAACTTTTTAAGGCAAATGGAACAACACAGGGACATGTCCACTAAAGAGTGAGCAGAGTAAGAGAATCGCCCCACTTCCTTAAAAAGGGCCACAGAGCAGGAATGGGCCTACCAAAACGCTCTCGGCAGGATTTCCCTTTTTTATAAGAGATTTTAGCTGATGTTTGATTTCTTTGTTTTCCCACCATAAAACAACTAGCACTTTTATTATCGAAAAATAAGTTCAAAACCTGCTGAATCCTTTCATCTATTTTCACAGTCAGATAATCAATCAGAGGACTGGCGGTGGGAGCCTCTGGGCTGGGTGGGATGGGTCCCCCAGGTTGAGGGCTGGCCACGGACACATGTCGGGGGCCCTGAATCCCCCAGGCCCCCCACAGGAACGCGGCCACAGCTCACCTAGTCGGGACTGCAACGTCCCGTCGTCAGTGGACGCCATGTCGTTGAGTCTGAGCAGCCCCCGGCCTCTTTCCACCCACGACTGAGAGGTCTTGTCAAAGACAAACAGCTTACATTGGATCTGCAACACAAGGTGAATGCACATGAACCACCAGGTTTAACAAACTATCACCGGGGGGACACGTCTGGCTCTTGGCCCCTTTTCTTTCTGTCCTGCTTTCAAGCTAAAATGGATTTTACATTTTCAGAAGAGTATTTAAAAAAATCACTATGGAAATGCAAATCAAACCACAATGTAGGGGACGTCTCTGGTGGTCCAGTGGTTGAGACTCTGTCTTCCAGTGCAGGGGACACGGGTTCACCCTGGCTGGGGAACAAAGAGCCTGCATGTTGTGGGCCAACTAAGACCTGACACAGCCAAGTAAATTAAAAAAAAAAAAAATCCACAATGTGACACCGCTTCACACTAGGATGGTTATAACCAAAGGACAGACAAAACAGGCGTTGGAGGATGTGGGGAAAGCAGAATGCTCACACCTTGCTGAAGGGAATGGAAACTGGTGCAGCCGCTGTGGAAAACTGTCCTTTAAAATGTGAAATGTGGAGCTATCACACGGCCCAGAAAGCCCACTTGTACGTATCTAGCCAAGAGAAGTGAAGCAGGTGTGCACTGAGACACCTGTACGTGAGTGCTCACGGGGTATCATTCTTAATTCCCCCAAAGTGGAAACAAAGCAAGAGTCCACCAACAGGAGATGGGATGAGCAAACGTGCTCCATCTGTACAGTGGACAGTTACTCAGTCATGAAGAATGAGGCTCTGACACATGTTCCAGCAGGTACGAACCTTGAGAACACACTGCTCAGTGAGAGACCAGATCCCAGAGACAGCACAGTATGAGTCTGTTGACATGAAACGCCCAGAACAGGCACATCCAGAGAGAGAGGATTCGTGGTTGCCAGGGGCTGGGGAGAGGGGGACGCGGAAATCACTGCTGAAGGGCAATGGGCACAAGGCTTCTTTTTTGGGGGCAAAAATGTTCTAAAATAGTGATGACACTTGTACAACTCTCTGAATGTGCTAAAAACCACTGAACTGTACACTTTAAAAAAGGTGAATTTCATAGTATGTGCATTTTATCTCAATAAAGCTGTTTTATGTTTAAAAAAGTGCAACAGAGACCATAAGTGACCCTTTACAGAGAGAAATCTGTAGATCTTTATAAGTCAACATCTCTTGATAGTAAAATGAATCTGTGAGTAGGGATAAGCAGTACCACGGAAAACTCCCCAATGCCACATGTACGTGGTTTATAGACACACACTCAGGTATGTGTGGAAGGACGAAGGGCAGAAGGAACCTTACCACCCTGGACCTGCCTCCCCAGGAGGGGAGGACCGTGGGGATGTGGCAGGAGGGCCGTGAAGTCTGGGCTAAGAGGAGGACACAGCACACCGGGACAAGACAGTCACAGCTGCTAAGCAGGCGGCAGGAAGAAACGTCTGTTTCAGGTCTGTAATCTGTCTTGAGACAGACCGTGTGGCTCTAGCACCCGGCACCACAAGCAGGTGGGCACTCACCTGCAGCACGTTGCTCTCGGCCTCCTCCCCAGTGATGACCTCCACCTTCTCTAGCAGGCACTTCCGTGCCGTCGCCTTGGTGTAGGCGGCTGCTGACTCGGCCAGGGACTCTGCAATGTGATTAGCTAAACGACATTGACTATTGACTTGGTTGGGGGGAGGGCGTGCCTCATGGGATGCCCCAAGGGGACCAGTGCCTCTGGGAGCTGCACCTTGGCCCTCAGGGGACCCCGCTAACGCACCCCGTGACTCTGCCAGGAGCGGCCAGCACAGCTCCGGTTCCCACTCTCCCGGCTCCAGGAAGGACAGAAGACAGCGAGACCTCTGAGGGTGCTTTAGAGCACCCCTCAGTCGCCTCGGTCAGGTCAGACACCTCACCCACCCCGTTCTGGGTCACCAGGCAGTGCCTGGGCCTGGCTGTTCTGAGCCGGCCAAGCCCCCTTCTGCTAACTGGATGCCAGCACCATGGCTGGGGTTCAGTGTCCCCGGCCACCCTCCTGGGACAGGACAAGGCCTACCTTTCTCAGGGGTGGCCTCCTGCGACGAGGACTCGGAGCCAGACTCTGCTGCTGTGTTTTCTCTGTTGGCATCTGAGCTGAGTTCATTTAACTTGGGCGGGCTCTGCGGGGGGCGAAGGGATGCAGAAGGTGGGTGTGTGGGCAGGTGGTCCTAGTGGGCTGACCACTGTGGACAGGAAGCCCCTCTGCTGGGACGCAGCTCTTGGCACGTTCTCTTCTGGGAAGAGGGTTTCTCTTGGCCAGCTTCCCTCTTAGATCCTGGGGACCCACCCAGCCCCAGCCCCTCTCCACTCAGCACTCGCTGACCATGCTCGGACGACACCCTAGGCACAGGCCTGCCCTGGATGTTGTACGTGAACTGCCTCTGGAGCCTCTGTGGCATCACCCGGAGGCGGGGCCACCAGCTGACCACAGGCCACCTGGTCACCTTGGTCTGTGAGGCAATTCTTTGACTCCTTCATTGTAATGGAAAAAGGACAGTACTGATACTCAAGAGAAGCAGCAGGGAGCTCCTCAGCATCATAAACAGAGACCAAGATGCCAGGAGTCAGGTGAGCCCCCAACAGCGCCTGAGCCACCCTCACAAATGGACACAACGGGGTTGGGAATGTATGGTTGGGGAATAAAAGGAAAAAAATAAGGAAGCAGGTGACAATTCCAGAAGCCCATCCTGGGCCAGAAGACGACCCGAGGTGTGTGTTGTGAGTGCAGGGGACACTGCGGGGGCCTGTTGGAGGCTGCCACCCCACCACCCACCCCATGCTGTGGCCTCACAGTTGGGGTGGGGCCGCCCTCCTCTGGCGTCAGAGGTGGCTCGTGGTGGTCCCAGCAGCACACAGCCGAGGGCTCTGGCTGACAACTGTCTCCACCCTGCCCTGAGATGACTAAAGACAGGAAGCACAACCCAGGTTCCCACAGAGCCTCCCCGGGCCACCAGGTCTGTCCCTCCCGCCCCTGCATGCTGTTTAGGCTGCGTCTGAGTTGGGTCTTCTTTCTCTTACTCAGCAAAAGAAAGCACTCTAATGTCACAGGACACGACACAGCAGCCATACGCCACGTGCCCCTGTGACTTGCGGGTGGCTCTCAAAGTCTCTGGGCCCCAGGGATCATCCCCACAGGATCACTCACCAGCACGCGCTCACTCATGTTCTGGCCAAACACGAATTTGCTGCTGGCAGCATCGGCACTGTTGGCTGCATTCTCTAAACTGCAGAGGAGATGCACTCTGAGTGTGGGGCGGCAGAGGTACAGGGCCAGCAGTGTGCACGCCCGCACACACAATGCGCACGGTTGGAGCAGAAAGCGGCCAAGGCCCCTCAAGGCCAAGTGGGCTGGTCTGCCTCGCCAGGGACAGGCCCCCACAGGCTCTGGGTTGGGCCCCACCGGGAGGCAGACAGGAACCCTTGGCTCCAGTTGCCTGGCACCAACTGCTCAGTCACTGTGTCACCCCGGATGCCCATTGTCCCCACCCCCCCGGAGGAGAACACCACCACAGAGAGGCTGAGTGCAGGGGCCAGCCGCCCGCTCCCCGAAAACACACCCCCAAGACGTGCTGCAGCTCTCTGGGCCCCTCCCCTGGCCCCACACCAAGGAGGTGACACCTCCTACCAGGCTGCGGGCAGGTGACAAAGGATGGCCCTCGGGGAGCGCTCAGCAGACGGCCGCTGCCATGGCCGTCACCCTTCATCCACGTTAAGACATCACAATGTGGGAAACACTGAGGTGCATCAAACATGTCTTAAAATAACTGATGTGCCCCACTAACTGGGGGCCAGGCTGCCGAGCAGCAGGTCACTGGTCCCGCCAGGCCTCTCGGAGGCTGGCGTCTGCACGGTGCCTGCCCTGCTGGCCTGACTCCCAGGCAGGGTGTGCTTTCCTCCCCAGACACCCCAGCAGCCAGGCTATGGGCAAAATGCCCCCGCCAGCAGCGCCAACAGGGAACCCGGATCCAGCACCTGGTGATGGAGGTCACTCCCAGGATGGGCTGGACAACCCCACGGGACTGCGGTCCTGCCTCAGCTGTCCGCTGCAGCACAACCCCCCAATCCTGGACCCTCCACATCTCTACCAAGTAGGGAAGGAGGGCTGGAGGTGACTGGAGTCTGGCTGCCTGTGCCCTTCACCCTCCCGAGGAAGGACTGGGCTGGTCCAGGGACAGTGGGTGACCGTGGGTCCCCCTGAGGCGGAGGCTTCCCCAAGCAAGGCTAGGCACCAGCCTGAGGCACACACCTGGAGCTGATATACTGAAGGAAATAGTTGGTTGCAGCTGGCGTCTCTGAACTGGGGTGTCCGGTGTTCTCCATGTCTGCCACTTCAGTGTTCTCATTGATCAACTGGGAAATGAGAGGAAACACTGCTCAGGGAACGGCACGTTCAGGGCGTCAGCAGCTCAGCCCATCTGCACAGGCCCTGTGCCGACACAGAGCTCCATCTACATGCATGCATCCTGGGGGTTACAGTTAAGATGTAAAAACAGTCCATGAGGTGCTAGGGAGCCTTTTCTCCTCTGTTTAAAAAAAAACACTCAGGCTGGCAACCTGTTGGAATTTTCCACCAATGCTTCTGCACCAAGAGATCACAGATCACGAACAAATTTCATATTTTAAAGGGTTCATTATAAACAGAAGCATCATTTCTCGAGGCTTCTTTTATGCCAACTGTCGTGCTGCCCTGGTTAAACACATTCTCCAATGCAATTCTCCTGGGAACATTGAGAGGTGGGTGTTAGCGACCATGTTCTGAGAGAGGAAACAGAGGCTCAGAGGGGTTAAGAAACCACACCTGCAAGTCACTCTCCATGCAGAAGTTGGGATGTGGCCCTGAGACGCCGGGGCCTCCATGAGATGCTGCCCCACCCCAATCTCAAGGCAGCATGGAAGACTCGACCTGAAGGCCCAGGTCTCTCTTTTCCTGCTGCCTGCTCCTGGGAGAGAGCGGCTGCCAAGGGACTCGTTATTTTGCTTAAAGCTGTGCAACATCAACACCTACTTCTGTGTCTCTGGGGGCATCTGTGCTTCTGCTGGACAGCGGGCAACAAAGGAGGAAGCAGCTAGTGCAGCTGGACACCTTCCCTGCACCCCAGACTCTGGTCTCATTTCAGGGCACCCCACCCTCCACATCACTGACCCTGCACCTAGATGGTTCCCTGAGTGGGGAAGGGGGCATCCTGGGCATTGCAGTGTGTTGGTCAGCATCTCTGGCCTCCACCTACTTAGCATCAGTGGCATCTACCCTCCAGTTGTGACAATGACTGGTGTCCCCAGACCCAGCCTCCAGGAGCTCCTACCAGATGAGCTGATGCACATGGTGCAGAGGGACCTTCTGCCCCCAGGGCTGGGACAGGTCTCCCAGAGGGCCAGAGAGTTTGGGGGGGGGGTACCCAACCTGCAGAGAGCCCCTGCCAAGGCCACAAGCTCCCCACCCCCAACTCAAAGCCCCCAGAGCAGACCAACACAACTGAGGGCAGCCAGGAGGGGCAGAGCCTGCTGCCTTCTGGGGAGAGAACATAGCGTCTTCCCAGCTGTCCTACTTGAAAACAAACGGCGGCAGCTTTCACTGGGGATGATGTAGCCCCTGGGGGACGGTCAGCACTAGTGGGAATGCTTCCCGTGGTCCCCACTGGCAAAGAAAGGCATCCAGAGGGCGGGGCTGGGGACGCTGCTCAACACCCTCAGTGCCCAGGACACGCTTCACGGAAGCAAGAAGGATCCAGTCTAAACACTGCCAGTGCTGAGAAACTCTTCAGTAAGGAGAAGAGTCCCTCTGGAGACGCTGAAAGCATCGGACACTAACATCTGCTTGTTCCTTTGCTGTAAAAACATCAGCTGTCAGGGCTCAGTCACCTCCCTGACCTTGCTCCTGGAGCATGAGGTGGCTGGCTGCCGGGAGCTCCGCTGAGCTCCACAGTCGGGGTTGGGGGTGGGGCCAGCCAGCAGCACAGCATGGTACCACCCTGGACATGGCCCTGCTTCCCATCTCTGGGAAAATGAAGCTGGGGAGGCAGAGGCAGGTTGCCTCACTCGTCCCCAGCTCACCCGGCTCACCGACCACCTACCTTCACTCTGTCCCTCAAGTTCTGCCCAAACACGAAAGCCTGCTGGGCTCCCTGCTCTTTCTTCTCACAGTTCTCCTCCTCGGAAGCACTGCTAGACTCATTTCTCTGGGACTTCTGATTAAAACAAGCAAACAAGACAGCTAAGAAGCAGGAACACCCTGGCCCTAAGAAGCGAGATGAGCTGTCTCACGCCCTCTGCATCTGCTCAGCATGAATCCTGTTGTGCAGGCCCTTGGGTGGGGGGTGCTGGGGAGACTCCCTAGGATGGGGCAAGCTCTGGGCAGTGCTCTTGTCACTGGGGATGCTGGTGAAGGATGGTGGGGGGTAGGATGGGTGGGCTGGGGTCACTTCTGGGTCTTCCTCAAGCTCACTGCCCTAGAGACCCCAGCCACCAGTTTCTGAGAAGCTGTAGGCTGTGGGAACAATTCCTCTTCCAATTCTGCCGACTGTGGTTGGAGGGTGGGGGGCTCAGGGACGTATGAAGATTGAATTGCACATGTTCATTTTCCCCATTTGAGCCTCAACATCCAGCGGGGATGGGGGGCGTGGGTGGGGAGGTGGAGAAGCCCAGGCAGCATTGTATCTGCCCAAACGGATAGAGTAGAAATAAACACACGGGTGCAAGCGGTCTCTGCACATGGACCCTTGGGTTACGTGCAACTGCAGCTCGGGTTTCAGGTCCGACTTGCCAACCACAAACGCAGGCTCTTCGTTAAATGTCCTGTTATTTTCCAGCTGCCGTGCAATGCTACTGGAAAACGCATCTGGCCTATAGAACTCCACAACCTGTCTTCTTTGCTAAAGAACTATTTCTGAGCCAACTCCCAGGCACACTTCTGCCACCAGAAGCAGAGTGCATGGAGACAGCTCTCCGTGGAGAGCCGCAGGCCCCCTCAGTGGCACAGCCCTGCTCGTGGCCCGATTCTCTCGGAACTAAGCATGGGGTCCTGGCAGCCTAGTGACTCGGCCAGTCAGCTGTGGTTACCCACAGATCCCTCCGGGCAAATCAGGCAGCCTGAGTACAGGCCAGCTCGGACACGGCCCAAAGTGGCCCAGAGCCCACATGCTCAGCAACGCCTCGAGAAGCCTCGCATGTGGCGCGCTCCCTGCCCTGTTGAGGACAGACCTCAAGTGCTGGCGCCTCATCAGATGGACTTCTCCGGGCTGGGTTGTCAGGCAAGGCTGATGTTGCTGCCCCCGTGCAGTCTGCTGGGATGCTGACCCCGTTGGTGCCGCTGCTCGGGACTGTGGGGAAAAAAGATGGAGGCCATCTCAGAGGTCGGACCACCTCACTGTCCCTTCCTACCACTGGGGCCCAACAGTGGAGGGTCTCTTTTAAAGAAGAGGGTCTGGGACTTCCCTGGGGGTCCAGTGGTTAGAACCCTGTGATTCCATGTAGGGCACCCGGGTTTGATTCCCAGTTGGGGAACTCAGATCCTACATGCCACGCAGTGCAGTGAGAAAATTGAAAAGACAACATGTTTAAAGAAAAATGATATGGCATCAATACTGAAAATCACAAATTCTTAGAGGATAGAAAAACCCAAATACCAAACGAAAACCTCACAAAACCAAGAATCTATTATTGTTAATTCTATAAAGAACCCTGTGAATTTTCAGTTTATTTAGACATACTACTACTATGGAGGAAAAAAGAGAGTGTATTTGGGGAATAATTATGAATTTTATAAAACTAGTTTTACTAATAAAGTCTTTTTTCTATGCACTCCTCTCCTTGGCGGCTCAGATGGTGAAGAATCTACCTGCATGCAGGACACGTGGGTTTGATCCCTGGGTCGGGAAGACCCCCTGGAAAAGGGTATGGCAACCCACTCTAGTAGTCTTGGCTAGAGAATCTCATGGACAGAGGAGCCTGGCGGGCTACAGTCCATGGAGTTGCAAGAGTCAGCCACAACTGAGTGACTAACATTTCACTTTTCCCTTTTAAGCAGTTGCAACTATGTGACTTGCACAACTTCAAATCTGGCTTTGTTCAGCGTTAGACCAAACAATTTTCCATGTAATTAAAACTCTTCATAAATACCAACTGCTTCTCCCAGGTGGGTTGTGGCATTGCTCCTGATGAGGGGTTCTACTGCAGGGAAAGATTGAGAAAAAAGCCTATCGTGATTAAAAATTAAAGATCAACTGCAAACCACACCTGGTATGTGGATATAGTGGAAACATGGTTTAGGAGTTACATCTCGAGGTTGGGGAGTGAGGTGAGACTACCTCTAATCAGGTCACTCCTCTAGTCTCAGAGATGCACAGGGCTGAGCTGCGTGCCCGGGGTGGGACTCGGCTCTTGGGAGCCTTGGCACCTCAGCAAGGGACAGTGGAACTTCATGTCTGCTGGGCTCATCAGGGACTGAAGTCTTGTTTCCCCTGCACTCAGCAGACAGGGCCAAAACCACCTGTAATTGTACCCTCCTGTGCAAGCCTGGCCCCGGGCTGTGACTCACCTGTCTGTGAGAGCGCCTTTGGCTGCGGGGCCTGTAATACCGCCGGGCGAAGCACGCTGCGCTGCTGCTCCTTGGGCTTTTGGCTCGGCAGACCTGGTGACACAGGCTGGCTTGCCCTGCTCCCTCCGACCGCACAGGCAGAAGTGCCCCCCGCCCCCACGCTCAGGCACTTACAGAAGTGCCCCAAGTGACGTCCCTCCTAGGCTGGGCTTTACAGGAAGTACAGTAAAGAAAGGAAACCCAAGCTATTTTCTTTACAGTTAGACACACACATTCCAGCTATTGTTATTTTTATATGTGGTTCAATAAAAAACTCCATGAAACAGATCTTGCCTGCAGATTAATCCAGGGAGTATGGTAAAACCACAGGGGAGCCAAAGGACAGCTGGTCTTGCGGGTCAAGGGCAGACAGTGAGGGGAAAGCAGTGAAGCCATGGTTGACCTCTCAAGAGTTTAGGACTCCACAAGGGGTCACGTAAAGGTACCCCTTACATGTGCTTCTCAAAATGCGACGATGAGAAGATCCCTCTGCCAAACACGGGGCAAGGGCCACGAGAACGTCCCCCGCCCTGCATGGGCTCCCCACTGGATGTGGATGGCACCAGCCTGGGCCCCACTCACTCAAGGCCACTCTACTACTCTGGGTTAAGGCTGTGGCCAGAATGCTCTGGGGAGACAGTCTGATGACTGAGGACTGCCGGGCACAGAGGCCGAATGCCCCCGACCGAGCCAAGCCTATCCTTTCCACCGCCACCGCCGCCTCCTCCTCGGGGCAGCGGGCTCACTGGACGGAGCACCCACGGTCTGAGGGCACTCCCGGTGCTCACGCGTCAGGAGAGGGAGCCAGGCTGCACCGGCACTGGGAGGCTGCTGCTCTGAGCTCCTCCTCGACAGCAGACACCCACCTGCACTGGGGGCCTGGCCATGGATCAGCGTCGGTGGCTTCAACCGGAACCCACTGCTCTTTTCCTCTACAAGCACAAGACAAAAGATGAAAAGTGGGCCTGCTGGGGCAGGGCAACAAAGTTGGAGGGACCTGGGGCGGCCAAGGCCTGCAGTCTGGGCTTCAGTGGCTGTGGGCCTGGAGAACCAGGGCAAATATTTCCAAGTTCAAACAGAGAAGCAGAGACTGGTCCAGTCCTGTCTGTGGGGCAGCCCAGGGAGGAGGCTGGAGGGCCACAGGCAGTGCTGGCTCTAGGAGAACCGCTGGCAGCAGAGACTGCAGGGTGAATGCAGGACTGGTCAGGCCTCCGCCGGTCTACCCAGCTGCCTGCATCGGCTGAGGGCCCCAAGCACAATCAGGGAGCCCCAGAAGACTGGCTCTCCCTGGGACCCAGCTCCCTGTCCAGGAGGGCACAAATGCTATTGGGAAAAGTCCTGCCATTACAGCAGATGTCCGGGAAATGAGACACGTTTTCTGTGGTTAAAGATCAAAGGAGGCCGATAGCAGGCTTGCTCTCTCCAGATGTGTTAGGAAGGCCCAGGAGGAGGAGGCAGGGCCTTTTGAGGATGGGGTCTGGGACTGACAGCCAAGGCTCAGAGCCCGGTTCAGCTCAGCCACTGGGGCACCCAGACCCCTTCATTCTGCATCTTCGTGACTGGCCCATCTTAGGCAGTGGCGGAGATAGGCTAACGCCACTCCTGACCAGAAGGGTCAGTAGAAAGCCTCGTGGTTCCGACAGGACTGTCTGTCCCCAGAAAAGTCAAGGGATGGCCTCACTTTTGTGCTAAGGTCCAACCAATAGGAAAAAAAACTTTTTGGGTTGCTGGGAACAAGCTCAATACACAGAAATCATGTGCATGTTATTAGACACGAGCAGTAAATAATCCAAAAATGAAGTTGAGAAAACAATTCCATTTACAACTGCATGGAAGAGAATATAGTACCTGGGAATAAATGTAACCAATAAGAACTATAAAGCATTGCTGGAAGAAAGTAAAGACTTAAAGGAATGGAAAGATGTCCCCAAAGGCCACAGCTGTGCGATTTTATTCACATGAAATGTCCAGGGCAGGCAAATCCATGGAGAGAGAAAGTGGATTCGTGGTGGCCAGAGGCTGGGGAGACCAAGTGGGGAGTGACTGCCCAAGGGCACAGGGTCTCTTTTTGGAGTGACAGTCATCCTAAAATTAATTATGGTGGTGGGTATACAACCCTTCAGCTGCACTAGAAACCCTTCAGTTGTACACAGGAACACCACCACAAACACAACTCATCAGGCCACACAATTAATTAGGTACGAAAATCAAATCAGAACTCCCCACCAGGCAGAAGGGCCCTGTGCTCTCCTCAGGCAAACACAAGTCCACAAGAGTGGGGCCCCGTGCTGGTCAGCACATGGGAGCCCACGCTGCTGGAGCTGGGGTCCCTCCTGAGAGAGGCCTCAACAGCCAGACAGCCCAGGATGCGGGGGCAAACACGCTGCCAGGTGGGCCTCTTGGGTAGGGAGATGCTGAATTACATTGCCAGAGCTCAGGGTTACTAAGATGACGACTGGCAATTTAGAAACATTGAAAAAGGCTGAGATAAAATTCACAACTGAGGTAATTTTAGAAGGTCCTCGGAGCTGGCTTTGCAATGCTCATACCGCGACTACAATTCACCACTCCGCTCTGACAAGCTAACCCTCGGGGTTGACCCTGAGCAGGGGCAACAAGCCTGGAGAGTCACAGACACTGACCACCACCACCTGGCCTGGTGCTGCCCCACCCATGGATGCACAGGACATCCACCCTGAATGCTGTGGTGAACTGACACACCACAGGCCTCCACGTGACTGGGAACACTGGACAGAAAGCTGGGGCCCACCAGAAAGATGGTGGGGCCCAGAGAAGCAGGGGGATACTTACGGGGCAGGGCCCCCATCTGCAATAGAATAAATGTGCTCTCTGCTTGTGGCCTCTGGAAGCTCCCTCTGCAGCAAGGTCAGCATGTAATGGAGAGGCGGTCAGAGCCCTAGCATGCATGCCTGGGTCATGGGAGTGCACGGGCTGTTGCACCCGTGTTCTCTCAAGGGCACACGTGTGGCCCCACAACATGAGCCTGCTGTGGGAGGGCAGCACTCCTAATGGGGCAGCCTCTGCCCTCCTCTGAAATCACACCCAAGCAAGCAGGTTTCTCTGCCTTGCCTCAGAGAGACCCCAAGTGATGTCTGAGAGGGCAACACTGGCTCCCAAGGGAATTCCAGGAGCTCTTGGATTAAACCAGGAAGACAGATCAGAGCTTGGCCTAGTGCGGACCAGAAGCTAGAGAGAATCTGAGAGGAGGTTCCCTGGTGGGGGCTCAAGCAACAAGTAAACACACTGAGCAGAAAGGGAGCAGGTTTCTCACTGTCAGAAAAGAGGCAGAAATATGAAGGAGGGTTTCAATGAAACTTGTTGGCACTGGACGGGAAGTATCCCCATGAACTGGGGTGACCTATACACGCAGACAGAGCAGCAGAGACACAGAACACATGCAGACGTGAGTGCCTGTGTATGAAGAGGCCCATGTATATATACACACATATATGTATGTATGTGCTCTCAGCAATGTGTGTTCCCAACTGTGGGTACAGAGATGGCCTGGGAGCAGCAACAGCCCCAACAGTGACCAGTGGGCTGAACACTCAAATCTTGGTTCCAAGAAACCACTCTCCACTAAGCAGAGCCAGGACCCCCGCTGAGGACAGGGACAGAAGATGATGAGCCTAGAAGCCCTTCTGACAATAAAAAAAGGGCATGCTCAAGAGAAGGATGGGGATGTGGCCGGAGAGCACAGAAACGGACGGGGGTCCCGCCAGCCAGATCGGGGACCATTGAATAAACTGATGGTGGAAGTAAGATCTGCGTATTAAGATAAATGCTAGTGACAACGGACTACAGCCCACTGACAGAACCAGGCAAGGCTGAGGGACTGTTTCAGATGCGTGACGCATGAGCCAGAACGGGATGCCTTTGCTCATCACTAGGGCACCTGGGGGAAGATTGAATGGGGTCTCTAGGTAGTGGGATGGAGAAGTACCTTATTATTCTTAAGGGTTACATTTTTTTCTTTCTTTCAAAATAAAAGCTAAAAAGAAATTAAAAGGCAGGCGGGCAAGGAGCCGAGCAGTTCACTCTGCAGAGTGGACAGGTCAGTCTGTCCCCACTACACACCGCAGAGGGGACCATGGACCGGGCTGACCTTTTATGACCTGGCCCCCACAGTCCTGAACGGGACTCACTAGGCTGGTGCCCAGGCATTCTTCAAGGAACCCTGAGAACCAAGCTCCCAGGACTTCCCGGTGGTCCAGTGGTTAAGAATCCACGTTCCAATGCAGGGCACTCGGGTTCAAGCCCTGGTTGGGAGACTAAGATCCCCCATGCCACAGTGTGGCCAAATAAATAAAAAACAAAAAGCCACCTAGCTCCCTTTTAGGCCCTGTGAAGGGGTCAGCTCAGAACAGTTTGCCTCTGGAGTCAGAACAAATTCAACTGCTTGAAACAGTGCCATCAAATCAACCCTCAAAGTTACAGCTCGCCTCTCCCTCCACGGCGCCCTTGTGCCAGAGGCTGACTGAGTTCGCTTTGCTTTTGAAGTCAGCAGTTAATTTATACAAGGCGGGTTGGGTTACAGAATTCGGATGGTTATGTTCGCTCATTAAATCTTTTATGAGGAATTCCAGCCACGCGGGAGAAACTTTCAGGAAATCTTGGAGCTGGTTCTCTAGTGAAGGACCGAAAAAGGAAAAGGCTCCACATTCTTCAGAAAGGATCAAGCTATTCGCCGTAAAGTTTTAAAGCTGTGATTAAATATATTTATCTAAACAGATCTAAGTAATATTAGTCAGTGTGAGAATTTAATACACAGAGAAGGGGCCTGGAAAATTACATAAACGTCAGAGTAGTGACCATGGGGATGGCAATGTGGCGGGAAATGAACAGGAGGACTCTTTCACTCTATGTATTTCCGAGTTTTTAATGACACAGAGGTTACAGTATTTGTGTAAAATTTTGAAAAACGAGTACTATATTTCACTGTGGGTTTTTTTGGTGTGTGTTTGCTTTTGTCTTTTTTTTTTTTAAAGGAACTTGAAGCTCCCTGTAACTAGCCTCTGCTCACAGAAACCGAAATTAAGGGTCACAGAAGTCTGCCTCACACTGGATTCTAAATCTGCCCGCAGAAAGTTGGGAAACATGAACCGAAAAAGAGTGCTGATTCCCAACTGCTTGCCCTCGTTTAAGATAGGGTTTTACAAGAGCAAGTGCTTTTCATCCCAGGACACCCCCAGTGACCAGCTGGTAAAGGGCAAAGGCACGCGAAGGCTCACCTGGTTCTGAGTCAGAGTTGCCTGCAGATGGCTCGCAGAAGGTGGATGGCATAAAAACATTGTTTTTGGATACTGTCGACAAGGTGCAGGCGGGGAGGAACAACAGGAAAACAGCGTGAGTAGGCAGGACAGACATGCCTGGGAGCATTTCTCCCACCTGAGGGGTCATCTCCAGGCCCCACTGTGGTTGCAGGGGGTGGGGGTGGGGGGTCAGCATCATGAACCTGGCCTTCAGCCACCCCTAGCAAAAGTGAAACCCCAGGACTCTTCTACAGCCTCAGAACATGGGTGTCCAGCACAACAGCCTGAATCTGCCTGATACCGAGCTGTCGACTTTGGTCTGCTGTGGCATCCTGCCTTGCCCATGTCTCCCCAAGAGGATGGCCAGGAGGGAAGCAGACGCTCCCCGGGGCCAAGCCCCAGGCCCTGCTCCCTGTCACCAGTCAGGGCTCAGCTGGCTGCAGTCTCCCCCCACCCCCCCTTTTAGAAGCTTACAAAAGCAACTGGTTCCCTGTTTGCTGGCCAGGTAACAACGCAGTGGGGCTGAAGACCGAACTGTGCAGGCTGCAGGCAGCTAAGTGGAATCAGAGTGCAGTACAAAGCCAAGGCCTCTGAACACAGACCACTTGTCTTTACATGCCTGATGGCTAACCTAAACCCTAGGGGGAGACTGCACTAGAGGACAGGACTAATGTCTACTGGTCCTTGGTTTCTCCAGCCTACAGCCAGAGCACAGACTACCACCTCTCTTCTCCGCTGTACTTTCTTGATGGAAAAAGTGAGGCTTAGAAGTGGGCAGTGAGCGGGAAGGAATGTGATCTACGGCCCAGAAGTTGATGCTGCCCCTCCTATAATAAGGCCTATGCAATAAGCATGCAGAAAGCCTTAAGAAAAAGGATGGGCCCCTAGCCTGGACTGCAAGCTGTCCGGAGGACTCCTCAATGCAAACTACAACACCTCTGTTTGGAGTGGGGAGTGTCTCCAGCAGTTGTGAAAAAGGGTTCAGCTGTGCCCAAGGCAAGTGTTCAGGGAACAGGCATGGACTCAGATGTGTCACAGGGGTGATGTAAGAGGATGCTCATGTACTCTTTAAGCTTCCAAGACTCTTCCAAGAGTCTTTTCTCTCCTAAAGTGACATCCTTAGGGCTCACAGCTGTAAATGTTTTATGTGAATTCCCAAGACTGAACTTCAGGCTAGGGAGCCGGAGGGGATATGAGAGCCAGTTGCAGAGCACTGGGCAATGCTCGGGTTGGGTGGGGAGTGGGGGCCCCGCTGCAGCTTGGACCCTGCAAGGAGCAGCAGCAACCCCAGGCTTGCAGAGCTCCCACGCAGCAGCCCCGGCGTCTCCCTCTACCCCAGGGACCCGCATCTATCCACCAGCTGGTCTCCTGGCCTCCAGTATGCAGAGACCTGGTTCTGGCCCGGAGGCTCCAAGCCCTTGGGCCCAGCCTGGCCAAGCTGTCTGGGCTCTCCCGAGCTCCCCTCCTTGGGGAGTTCATGCCATTCCACCACCCAAGTGTCTGCCAGGGCTGCTGGACTCCCCATGTACTACTGTCTGTGTGTCTGGGCCTCTCAATTGGCCCCCCTGGGCACTAGGCTCACTTCTGAAGGGCGAGGGGGGCCCCATTTCCCACACCTTCAGTCTACACATAGCCAACAGCCCTTACAATGTCGACATGTACTTAATGGTCAGAGGCCCGAACATGGCCCTGACATCCCACCACTCTGTGTCAATGATTCAGATGAGGGTGTCTGCGCTGCGCTCAGCCAAGCTCCAGTCTTACTCCCGCCCCCCCAAAAAACGAGCCTCAGGCTGACCGTAACTGGAGACAAACAAGGGGTGGGAAGCACTGCAGGGGGACAGCAGGCTTACAAACATGGCCACTTCACCATCTAGTAAAGGGCTGCCACTGTTACCTGACTGTGATGGCGGGAACTGTGTTAAAGAGGATGTTCTTTCTCGCTTGACCGGAGGGCAGTAATTTCCATCTTCTCGGTCAGAATCTACAGAAAACGAGGAGGAGGAGAAAAAAAATCAGGCTGCTTCCACTTTTACGACCAAAGCTGGTGAAACATTTGAGAGATATCCTCACCTTCTCCACCTTCGGGGCTGGAGCCGCCTGCTGACCTCTGAAATGAGAACACACGTCAGGGCAATCAGAGAGGGCCACACGGCCTGGTGGCTCCTGACTTTTGCCACCAATGGATCCCGAAATGCGGCACCAAGGGTGTGGGGCCGAGGTTCAGTTGCCCGGGTCACAGACTTTCAACCTAATGCCTGAAAATCTCCCATGAACCTCCTGCCCCTGCCTCGCCAGGCCCCGCGCCAAGGACTCCTAATAGCTGGGAATATTCCTGGCACAGGATCAGTTACCAAGTTTCTCCACTGGGTACAGCTCACTGGCATGTCCCCCACACCCCCCACCCCAAACCATTCTGCTAAGGTGACCTGTCCACCCCGAAGGGCAGCAGGGCCGCGGACACTGGGTCGGGGGCCCCCGTCACTGGCGGCTCCCCTGGTGTGAAACCCAATTTCCAGGGAGGCTGCTGTTCCCAGAGTAGCTGAGTGCTTCGGTGCCATGGGCCCAAGTGTGCAGCACAAAATCCCCGGGTCCAATGGCTCAGACTACAGACAGGCTGAACAATCACAAGCTGAGAGAGAAAGGTGGGTGAAGAACTTCCTCCCCGACAAACTCTGGTTTCAGAACACGAATGACCGGCAATTAAGAGCTTAAAATGAGCCCCTGGCCCATCTGGGGAGGCACAGCCTCTCTCAGGGGCTTGCGATTCTCCAGAGCTAAGCAGCCTACAGCAAACTCTGAGGGGTCAACACCCCCCAGCTCCAAGCGCGGGAGCGAAGGGGAAGTAGGGGGCCGACTTCCTTCTCAGAAGCCCCTCAGGGGTTAAGTCTGGCCAAACGAGGACCGCCCGCCTCGAGCCTGTGAGGGATTAAACCAGATGGAGCCTGTGGAAGTGCTTTGCAAGCTGCAGGGCTGGGTAAAAGCTGCGAAGGAAGGAAGCTGCAGATGAGGAGGCTGGACCCCCGAGAACTGGGGCGGCGCTTTCCTGTAAAGGGCCAGCTCCACAGGCCCCATTCAGGCCACACGCTGTATATTCTTTGTTTTTACAATCCTTTAAAAACCTGAACAGCATCCTAGCTTGTAGGCTGGACAAAAAGAGGCAGTAGGCAGAGTCTGCAGACAAGTCCTAAAGGGCAGTAAGAATAGGACCCCAAACTGCACCCCCGCCCCCACCAGAGACCATCTATCAAAATGCTCGGGAAATGCGAAACCCTCCTAACACGACGGGCTCAGGGGTCCTCGAGGCAACTGTGAACATACCATGGGGCTCAAAACGAAATAAAATACCCCTGGAGGATTCAGCAGGCAGGCACTAGATGAACACAAGACAGTGGTCAGGGCTCAGAGCGTGAAGGCGCTCAACTCCCCCTCAAAGGCTTGAGAGCTAGTCGGCCGTGTCTCGAATGTGGAACCTGGGGCAAACGGCTTCACTGGCCCAGGTTTCCACCTCCAAGCTTGGCAGGTAGCACGGCCAGTGCCTCCTCTGCAGGGATGAAGGTGTAGGGGTCGATGGGTGGCCTCACACCTGGACCGTCCACACCCTCCCGGCAAGCTCACCTCTGGGAGTGTCACACCCAGGATAGCAGGGCTTCAGCGCTCAGGGGACACTGTGGACAGGAGGGACCAGGGCGGGGCACCCTCTCACCGTGGGGGGCCGATGAAAGAGGCACCGCTGCAGCGCTGTCATCCAACAGGTCTGGGCTGGCAGCTGACAGACAGCCAAGAGCTGAGCCCGCGACACCTGACATCAGGTGTTCCTCTCGGACGCCCTGCCCTGGGTGACACTGTGAAGGCACAGTCTCCAGGTCTCCTCCTGCTGTTCCTCTATAGCAGGTCTTGCCAGCCCCAGACTACCCCTGCTGTCCTGCCCCCAACTTCTTTCCCCCTTTTCCTTCAACAAGCATTTCAACTCTACTAAACCTGCCCATGGCAGGCAGTCTGCGAGGCCCGTGGCACCTGTGGCTTCCTGGGACCTGGAAATAGATAGCTCCTGTAGACACTTCTCTTTCACCAAAATCCACCCTTCCCTCACCACCGAGGTGCAAATCTCTCAGGCTGTGGCCTCACCCCTCACAGCTCTTCTCCATGGCTCTCGCTCCCGGTCCCCCGCCAGCCTCTAAATTTCAGAAGAGTCTGGCCCCAGTGCGCAGTGGGGCTTGCTCACCATGTGTTCAGGGGAAGCACCTGGATCCCAGGTGTTCACTGGCCACGGAGAAGCAGCCAAGTCACATACCGCGCTCCCCCCCCCCCCCGACTGTATGCAGAGTGGGGGCCCTGACAGCTCCAAGGCCAGGATCGTCCGCCTGGTCCTCAGCTCCTGGGGAAGACGGTCCTCTGCCACCTTCATCTCAAGAGGCCCTCGTCTGGCTGCGCCTTCGCTGGCTAATTTCCATGGGTGTGAATGCCCCAGGGCTCCTGCTAGGAATTTCTAATTTCATTCCATTTTGGTTGAAGAAGACTGTGATTTCTGGACTCCCTTTGTTCTGGCAGTTTTTAAAACTTTTGTTAAGTTTTAACAACACTTAACTTGCTTATCCTGCCAGCGACACCCCAAACCTCTCAGGGATCCGGGTCTCCCTGAGAATTTGATGGGAGCCAGGAGCCTCTCCCCAGAAGTGTACCCAGACCTCTGGGCTGCAGCCCTGCCTCTTGGGGCCTAGGACTGCTGACTCCAAGTGGCCTCCTGCTACACTAGGTCCCCTTTGTCCATCACACTCCAGCCCTACTGTCTCCTTCATGTTTCCTGAACATGGTGACACTGTTTCTGCCTCAATGTTCCTCCTCCACGTGCGTGCTGCTCCCACAGCTGTCCTGACCACCTCCAGGGTGAATCCAAGCTCACGTGCCAGCCCATGCCCCAGCCAGAGAAAGCGGCTCCTCTGCCCCCACCCTCCAGCCTCTCTCGGGCCTCAATCCTGCTCTGTGCTTCACAGTGGGAGTGATCTGGCGTGCCCATCTGCCGTGTGCCTCCTGCTACCACGAGGCCCTGCCCTGTCTGTCCGGCTTACGACTCACAGCCCCAACACCTCGGATACTTGCTCAGCAAGCATCTACTACACAGATGGAGCCCTGGCCTCCGCCACAGCCCCCCTGGTGACCTGGAGAAGAAAGGGCACCTGGCGAGACAAGACAAGACATTCCCAGATGTCTGCCCCCAGGCTCTAGTCCACGCTCCGAGTCTCAGAACCATCCCACAGGCGTGTGGCCAGCCTGCTGGTCCTGGACAGGCTGGGAGGTGAAGGCCTGTGAAGGACAACAAAGGAGACTCCTCCACTGGGAGAGCCTTTCAGAAGCTGCTGGGACTTCCTGTGGGGTCTGAAACAGCTGACTTGGAAGCAGTGAAGACAGTCACGCCAGTAATTCTCCTCAACAGGAGCCAGCACGAGGATGCAGGAGGCCAGAAGTCAAGTCACTTCGGCTTGCCTTGGGAGATGCTGCTTCATGCTGGAAAGCCCCCTCTGCTGCTTGTGTGGGCTGCAGTCTGGCCTCTCCCCACCCCGTGGCCCCCCCAGAGAAGGCCTGAGCTTGCTGTCTAGGCCTGGTGCCTCGCGCTGCCCTCCACTCCCTGGCGCACACGTGGGGTCAGGCCCAGCAACCTGTAGCCCAAAGCTTGGGAGCCGCTGCTTCACGGATGACTGTGAGGAGGGTCTTGAGAGCAGGCTCTCAGGATCTGTGATTTGGGGGAGCAGTCAGGATGGAAGTGGGGTGTGGAAGCCCCATGTCCTTCTCTGCTTCTTTCCACAGCAGAAGCCGCCTCTTGATGACATGGGCTTCAGGCTGACACCTCAGGGATACTCAGATCAGGGCACCCTGACTGCGTACTTCACAGTGGCCGTGGGTCCCACATCAGTGGGCGGGGTGGGCAGGGTAGCCCACGTTCTGAGAACACACTGGAACCCTGGGGAGAAGCAGCTGGTCCTGTGAAGGGCATACGTCCCTGTCACCAAGCACAAGACCGGAGGGAAGACCTGACCCAGGACAGGGCCACAGGACCGGGAAGCTCCTGTCCTTTGTGTAAAGGCTGAATCCATGACAATTACTAGTATTCAGTTTACTGAGGCTTGCACCCTCCCCAGACAGGGCTTTTGTGAGGCTTCCTGGCATGGGTGGCCTTGAGGGTACAAGGGCGCCAGGCCAGGAGGCAGGGAGGGAGCAGGAAGCTGTGTCAAAGAAGCTGAGACACAAGACAGATGGGCAGTGAGCAGGAGTGAGCAGCGCTACCTTCTTGGCCTCCTGGAAAAGATGAGAAATCAAGACCATGTCAGGGACATTCCTTCCAGGAAATACCAGTTGGCCTGCCGAGGACTCAGTGATCCCCAGCTGGATGGACCCCCAGCTGGACAGTCCAGCTACAAAGTCCGCTGCTGTGACTGCAGGAAAATGGACACCTGGATGAAGATCCACTTGAGGGAGGCACCTGCTGAGGCAGCCTCACCTTCATGTGGACCACAGGCCCACTCACCACAGTTTATCCTTTGACTCAGGGAACCAGCTCAGAGATTTTTACCAAAAAGGCAGACACTGAAAAAAAAGAGAAAATGAGGTAGCCTCCAAAGATGTGACTGCTGGGCAGGGGCGGACGAGTGGTAAACCCCATGCACACGTCAGAGGATGGGCAGGGGGAGCGGACCGGCCAGGAGACTTGGTCCAGACTCTCTCGGTTTCCCAGTGGGGCTCGTGACATGTTTCAGGCTCGGTAGTGCCTTGGCTCAGGACTTCAGTTGGCAGACTTCAGCCAGGCTCGGGGTGAGCACTGGGAACACTTTCTCCGGGTCAAATGGAAAAGTTAATCTGGATGTGGTTTGGTGTCCCTCAAGCTGCCTTATGAGAGCCAAGAGGTCTGATATAAGGAGACTGTTTCCTGGTCCTGGGGCTTCAATGGCCAGAGCTCTGATGAGACTGAAAGATGATAAGGGCCCTTTATAGGCAACAATTCAGTGTGCGATATGTCGCAGCTTTACAATCCCCCAGAGGATCGTGGAATGAACAGACTGAACGTGAGGGATGAGCCCTGTCAGGTTACATGTGGGTGGGTGTTTCCTGAACTCCAGAGTGAGACAGAGTGAGCGCCAAATCTGCTCTGAAGCAAGAGCAGCTAGTCCGAGTTCACCACAGAAACATCTCAGCCCAGGAAGTAGCTGAGATCGGGGTCTATCCACACCCTAATTGACCTAAAAAACAAACTTCACTGTGTCTTAGTGCCCAAAAAGCAGAAAAAGCCCTGGATGGCTGAGAGCTGTCACAAACGGTGTGACGGCGGCACTGCTGGGACTTCTGATGGAACCAGGGATGCCCGTAGTTACCCATGTTAAAACCACACAGGGTATGCACGGGTGTGTGTCACAGGCATGGCCCTGTCCATGAAGCTGGCATATTCAGAAACAACCCCCCTCCACCCCAGGCCCTCTCCCACAGCAACATAACAACCATCTTCATCGCCCTCGACCTTGCATCTTCCAGTCTGGGCACTGCTTGCATTTCTCAGAATTAGAGCTTCTGACCCACAGTCCACAAGAATTGAGAAGCTGAGTTCTGTTGACCAGGCCTTGGAAATCGGCGTCTGGACTGGCCACAGGGAGAAGGCGAGGCTCTGCCTCACAGGCATTAGCAGAAAGGGGTCTGAAAGAGCCTGGCTTCTGGAAGGGCCGCTGCGGTGATACCACCTCTACTGTTTGCCACCCTCCATGGAAAACCTTCGACCTCTGCAGATGGAGGTTCTCAGCAAATTGCGCTCTTCAACCTGGACAGCAGCGGAGGGGCCCGTTTCCTGGGCAGATTCTCACAAAGACCACCTGTTCTCAGGGAACTGGGAACAGGTGCCTGCTGTCACCCGACTCAGGAGAAGGTTCCAGCAGCTGCTCTTGCCCAACCCAGAAAATGACTGCCTCTGAATTCCTGCTCTTGGCTCTCAGGTGGGGACCTCAGATTGGAATCTTTCCTGGGTTTCCTTCCCTCAAGCCCCCTTTCAGGCCACAAAGGACAGCCCCCAACAGGGACAGACTGGTTCTTCTTTTCCCACCACACACTGATTCCTCCATATGTTAAAATTTGGCTCCAGCCTCACTTGGCTGAACATCACTTCCTTCTGCGAATCTCAGGGTCTGTGGCTCTAGCTGAATATCAATGGTTTCCTCAAGGACATGGGAGACTGGCGCTGTGACACGAGGAACCACTAAAGGTCTGGGAGAGGGCTGGGGCTGTGACGGCCTGGGTGCCATGTGGTGGGGTGGGAGCCTGTTTTCTTGTCACTTTTCCCTGATGTGAGAACGGGGGGCTCTGCCACTAGGTACCGAGAGGATGAAGCTTTCAATCCTGAATGGAGGATAATGTTTACCTTTCCCGATTTATCAAACTCCAAAAACTCCAGACATTTCTTGTTCTGGAGAGTTCACAGTCTTCTCCACCTATAATCTTCCAAAGCCTTCTGAATACAAAGAAAAAGGGCTCAGGGGGCTCCCTCCGATTCAAAGGAAGCGGCTCTTCTTCCTGCTTTGATTGAAGACAAGCAGTTCACAGCCCAACCACAGTCTAGACACAACCGGTCTTGCAAAGCAACAGGCATTAGACACCTTTTCCTACAGATCAAGGAAGCTGGAGCCTTTCGTGTTTCTAAGATACTGAACTTGAAAGCCCAAATTCAGGGAGAGACGGAAAAACGGAAGGAGGGAGAAGGGGCTGATTTGGAGGTGGAAAGTTCTACCCTGATCCTCAATTCCTCTTCTGACCCCTTGCTTCTTTCAATAACAGGATTAGCTTCAGGCTATGGATAAACGTTCCCCTGACTAGCAAAGTCTCAGTGTAGAAGGGGACTTGCTCCTTCCTGATTTTTTTGGCAGCAGGAATTAAAGGGCACTGAAGAGAGCCCTGTCATCTTTTCAGTTATCGCCAGTTGCTGACGACCCGGGGTCTGGATGCGAGGGCCGAGAGGGAGGGGCCGGTCTGGGTTGGGAGCCCGGGGCTGGGGGATGCCAGGGGGAGGCGGACTTACCCCTGCCAGTTCTCGTGGAAAAGGAAGAAGCTGGGCTTCGGGCGCGCGGGCCAAAGCGCTAGCGGGGGCAGGAAGCTCTAGGGCATGCTCACCAGCTGACTCGGGCTGACCCGTGCCATGGTGGGGGGCCTCAGCCTCCCCCCGAGGCTCCTCTCCCGAATCCGACAAGTCTTTTTGCTCTGCAGAGGACTGGGAGCAAAAAAGACAATTTTCCTTCAATGTAAACAAAGCCTGCAATGCGGGGCAGGGGAGGGGGTGGGATTCAAAGGTTGAGCATCTCTTGACGCTCCTGCCCGGGACGGATGTCGGGCCAAGAGAGCCGGCCCTCCACGCTGTCAGAAGGGCGGTGAACATGGGCTGGCTGTTGTCAGACTTGGCACTTCCTAAGGTGTCCAGGAAGTCGGACCCACGTTTTGAAAACTGGCAGGTGGCCTCTGCGGTATGCAGCTCCTCTGCTGGTGGCAGTCAAGAGGAAACGGTCTCGATGACCAAACTGCCCCTGGGGTTAGTAAGCCCAAACTCGGACAGACTCGGGAAGGGGGCGAGTGCCAGCACCGTGTCTAGCCACTGGGGCTGGGGCTTCAGCAGGAGCTGCAGTCCCGGCAGCACCTCCCATCTGTGCCCATGAACCTGAGAGGAAGGGAACGCAGCCCTGCTCAGTGAGTGCAAGTGTGGGGGACCCAGCAAGCTGGCAGAGACACAGAGACCCGGCTTTATATCAGCGGGCAGGTGGGTGGAAGTCTGGCTGAAGGAGGGAGCCCCTTGGCCTAGGAGTCTCCTGGGCCAGGGCTTATCTAGAAAACAGCCAGAGTAAGGGGAAGCTGGAATCCTTTATGAGGCGGTTCTTGGGGTTCAGGAGGGGCTTCCATGGAAGTGGCTTGTTGCAAAGCTGGTGGCCTGGATCCAACAGGTGGGCTCCGGTCCCCAAACCTCCCACCTGGCATCATCCACCACAGGCTTCTCTCACTGTGAACTGAATGACCATGGGGCCACCCTGTCTCCCTGTAGATGCAGCCACATTCCTCCTGCCTGTGAAGTGACTAAACCCTCTTTAGACAAGACTTGGGACTATTTTTAAATGTGTGAGCCTGCTGGATGAAAGCAACTACATAAAAGATTTAAGAGAACGTTCAAACACTCTTGGAAAAGCAAAAGCCACAGGACGTTAACACATCCACATGTCTAAAGGTCACCCAAATGGACTCTTCTTATGCAGGGAGATCCACAGATGTAAAGGCCTTCCTTCCCAGGCCGCTCTTCAAACCTGTGCTGGGTGCCAAGGTGGCCCCACAGCTGCCTGTGCTGCTTTATGGCCAGAGACTGAACACCCAGCCAGAGGAAATGGAACCCAGAGCCCCATGGGAAACTGTCCATTTGTATTCAGAACAACCAGGATTTTTAAAACAATCCCCACTTTTCAAACAGAGAAGTTCAAATGCCCTTGCAGCATGGCAGAGATGAAGTCTACATCAGAGAAACAAAAAGAAATACAAATGCCATCGCAGCGTTTTCTCCTAGGGTCTTGAGTATTTCTGCTGGACAAGGAAAGTAAGCTCTAAAGAGACAAGACAGAGCCTGTAGGTTTTCAACATGTTTGTTAAAGTCAGACATTGGGATTTTGGCAGCCTTTAACATCATTCTAAAATATACGTGGCTGACAAAAAGCCACACACACAGAATACGCTTGTTACACAGAGTAAGCTCCCAGTGTTGTCAGTGACACTCTGCTTTCTGCCCAACAGCAGACTGCTGTTGTAACTGCTTTTTGTCTTTTTACTGAACTGCTTTTTGTCTTTACTCTGCCAGGGCAACCCCAAAGTCTTCTGCCTTCAGATTAACAAATATTTGGAAGATAAAGTAAATGAAAGGAACATTCAGTTATCACAAACAGTGTAACAACCCACAGAAGGAGATTCAAATTCTCTTCCTGTTTAAAAGAAAAAAACTGTTTCCATTCAAGGCAGTTAAGAAGGTTTCATTTTTGCCCCTAAAACACAAATGTGTGGAAACGCAAGCATCTTGTGAAGAGCGCCATCTTGAGGAAGCTCGGGCATAGGGAAGCGACAGAAAAGGCTCTTGGCGCTTGGCCTGGGTTTTGGCATCAAGACTGCAGTTCCAGCTGCCCGAGGCTCTAACATAGAATGATGGGAGGATCTGAGGACTCTTCCCAAGACCCAGGGATGCCACCGGCAGGCCACCGATCTGTGGTTTGCTGTGAAGGCAACTTGAACCCTGTCTAGGGGACAGATAGAAAATCCTAGGTGGTTTTGTCACCAAACCAGCACCAAAAATGCCTGGGCTGGCAGCCTAACTTTCTTCTTCTCAGTTTCAAATCTTTTATCTCGATCATGATTTGGTAATAACAGCTGGGCCTCTGAAGGGGAATGGGGGCTCCTGGAGTACATCCCGTGGGTGCACTGGTGGTTTATGGATTACCCACTGAAAGACGGGGTGGGCCCACAGCTGACAATGGGACTCCTTGACCTCTGTGGATCCAAAAGTAGCTCAGAAAATAGCTGTGTGGGTGACACTTAGGACAATTTCCATGTGGACTAAATATATTACAGGATGTTTCTGAATTAACGATCACTTTCTCAGGCGTGACCATGGCACTGGGGAATTCCAAGGAGACAACTGTCTTTAAGGGAGAACCGTCAGGGGCACAACTTAGAGTTGAGTGTTTCTAGCATTTATGATAAAGATGTTAACAGTGAAGCCTACCCAAGGTGGCTTCCCAAGGGTCCACGGTACCATTCTTTTAATTTCTCTGAGGACTTGAAAAAAATTTCAAAACAGAAAGTTGAAAAAGGGCAAAAAAGCTCACTTGGAAAAAAACAACAGCAGCCTGTTGTTTCCCAACCCTGTGGTGTGAGCAGGGAGGGCTGAGACAGCAGCAAGATGGGGAAAACAGGGAGGGTCCCAGGAATGTGTGGTGGCTGCTCCTTGCAGACCCCCCTAACCATCACCTGCCCTGGCCCCGGGGGCCACACAGACACCAAGCCAGCTATCCGGGCCTCTCCGTGTCCTTCCTGCCTGATGCCCGAGCGGTCACAAGCAGCAGAGAAAGGAGGAGGCCCTGTGTTTACTGGGCAGCCACCCACTCGGCAGCTCAGAGATGGGCCTTGATGAACACACAGGCTCCCCCGGCCTCTGCTGCAGAGGTTTTCCACGCCCTTCCAGTGATCTTGTCACACAAGCATGACAGCAGCGGAGAGCCGGACTCTGAAGAGTTCACGGTCAGGTATTTTTAGAAGCCCATTTAGAGCTGGCACCGAGTCAATATTCAGATGTGCACGTTTTCATGAAGATAAGCATCCTGTTGGTGACTCTTCAAGTTCAACCTCACCCTGTTCACCTAACTAGAATCGACCTTCTGAAGGTAATGAATGTAACTCGGCCTTTGAATGGACAAAGCAACAGAGCCACCTCAACCATGAAAATAGTAAGAATTAGTAATTTTAAAAGCATTTTAAATTCAGCCAAATAAACATTATATTTTAGCGTTTCATCCTGCTGATTGTTGGAAAGTCTTCAGAATTATCTATTTCAATTACTTGTTTCAAATCTGGGCTGGCAACCTGTAAAGGGCCAGATGCTAAATATGTTTGACTTTGCAGGCTGCCTGGTTTCAGTCCGAACTCCTTCATGCTGCAGTTGACAGTGAGAGAGCAGCCACAACTCACGGTACACATGGGGCGGGGCTGTGCGCCAATATTTTTTTATTAACAAAAAGCTGTGGCAGCCCTTAGTTTGTTGATAATCTAAAAGTGGTTCAAAAGAGAATCACAGTAAAATTCAAAATTCTAGAAAGTCCCGATTTTATGGAAAACCTGAGTAAAATAAATGACTTTCATATCTGAAGCAGAAACCAAACACATTTACTTCTAAAAGCCAGAAGAAACACATCAGTCCCTTCACAGAGGCTGAACTTCCAAAGGACAAATGATAAAAGCACGTGAAACTAAACTGCATGTATCGGTCAGCGCCCAATGGGGAGGAGGCAGCAGAGGCTGATGGACCTAGAAAACATGACCCAGGAAACAGAAGCAAAAAGGGAAGAACCTTTTCTTGTGTTTTCTGATTCCTCAGCAGAACTGACAATGGGAAAGATTAATGCAAGAACAAGCCCAGCAGATAACACAGAAAACATCCTGCAAGGGGGTGTTGGTGGGTGGGGGGGCCTCAGGGCAGCCGCTGCTCCTCCCCACCCCTGCCCCACACACTAGCAACTTTCCCCACAGCCCTTGAACGCTGCACCGCTCACAAGGAGAAGACTGGCCTCTTCTCAGACCATGGGGCAGGGTCTACAGGCAGCGACTCGGCTGCCGGCAGCCCCCAAGCTCAGAGCCAGCCACCTTCAGGAGGGCCCACCTGGTCTGTGGGTCATGAGTCCAGAGCTGAGGGACCCCTCAGAGGCTGTCCTCACTAACAAGATTCCAGAATCACACAGATTTCAGAATACCGGTGTCAACGCAGTGCAGGGGTCACTCTTAGACCTTGCCATGGTCATGACATCACACCTGCTGTCCCCGGGCAGGAGGACAGGCACTGTCCATGTTTTTTGGACAAATAGGGGGAGTCCCCATATATGCTTGGGTCACCACAGAACACTGACTAACTGGAGACACAACAGCGACCTTCCATACTGGCCCATGGGGAGGGACACGGCCTGATGACTTCACCGCGAACGACCACACAGGACGGCACCGCCCTGCCCTCCAGGCGCGTGAGCTCCTCACCCTGAATTTGTCGAGGTATCTCCAACAACAGAGCAAACCAGATATGTAAAGCAACCTTTAAGGACAGGTAGTGAATACATGATGCAAGCCGGCTGCCAATTATTCTAAGTGCACTTAAGCCAAGTTGGTTGGGGCCAAAAACTCCCCTAAAAATGTTAAAGGTCCTGTTTTTCCTTACTCAGCACTGCTCCCTCTCCTCCACTCTCCACCCGCCTTCCCTCCCTTCTACCAGGTTCCCTGATGCACAGCAGTACTTCTACAGCAAATAAGATGGAAGCGCTCTCTGTTTTTTAAAGCAGAGTCTCTGAGCCCTGTCCATGCACCCTCTGTTAACCTTGGGCCGTGGTAAACCTAAGGCCACTGGGCCTTCTTCCCCGAGCCCCAAGGCGGCGCTGCGACCTTTGGGGGAAGAGTTCTGGGGGAGGCGGTGGGGGAAGAGGGGATGGCAGAACATACCGGCCCCTTACCTTTTGTCCTTTCTCCTTCTGAAACACAAAGACGGGCGGAGCAATGGCAGGCTTTTCTGCAAAAAGAAAAATCGGTGTTTTTTCCCCCAACACTATATTCATACAGGAAACACAGCTACATTTGTTTGTGATAAGTTAAAAACAAAACACAAATCCAATACAAAATTAGTAACTCGAATGATCATAGGATCGCCTAGAAAACAGTTTCTTGATATAAATGTGCAAAGTGTTCAGCGTGTTAAGCTATGTGCATCTTTCTGTGTGCATGTACACACCAATAAATGGTTTCGAGACTGGCTTAGAATGGCCATGTCACTGGGAAGTCCCTAGGTTTAAAATGTTTATGTTTTCAAATCTGCAGGCCAGCTGGGGCCAGGAGCAACCCATCCACAACTTCTGCCCACGAGGCACACGCTCTTTGGAGGATTACTCTGCTCAAGTCAGCTCTGCGTTCCACCTGGGTGTCTAAGTGAGTGCCCGTTAGGAAAAAAGTGGAGTTGTGAGGATTGAAAAGTCCATCTTGCACAGCTGCTGCTGAAGGGAGAAACCCTCTGGGACGCTGTCACTGGACCACGAGATGGTTGCTGCCAGTCATCCTCAGTCAACACCACTGGTCTTCCGTCCGAGGGGCCGTGTCCCTGGCCCTCTGCCACCCGCCGGAGCGGCCACCCGCCTCACTGTCTGGGGCCCGAGCCCTGTGGGTGTGCCCAGGGCCACCCTCAGCATTCAAAGCCTGGAGGGGCAGCATGGATGGGAAGCGGGGGCAGGGGGGTGTTGTTATGAACTTGGGGCGCATCTGCACAGCCCTTCCACTTCCTGAGTCCTGGGGTGAACCAGGAACCTGCACTAGCAGCTTTCACCTGGCAGGATGGGCGGTTCGCAGGCCACGAGAGTACTCGCGGGCATCTGGTTGGAGGGCAGGGTCTGGGGTATCTTCGGAGAGGAGGCTGTGCTGAAGCCTCAGCAGAGCCCGGAATGCAGGGACAGGTGTGAAGGCGGCTCCTGAGGTGACAGGCAGCCTGAGGGGCAGATGGTGGCGATGGAAGGATGTGGGGCAGTTGTGAAGGGGGGTAGGGGAGGAAAGCAGAGAGACCACAGTGTGGGGAAGGGGGCGATGGCGACCACCCAGATTAAAGAAGAGGGGGCGGGGACGATGCGCGGGGAGCAAAGGGACAAGACTGAGATGGTCACAGGACACCGTCCCCTCCCCACCCCCAAAACTCCCATACCACGGAGGAGCAGGACAGACGCCCACCTGCACTCTGGGACCACTGCCTATTGATGGAGACCGCTGCCTCGCTCTGAGGCACCGAGTCAGATTCACGACAACCCTCACCAGGCACAGCCCATGCCGCCACCACTGGGGTGCGTGACAGCTCAGAGACTGCAGTGCACAGGGCAGGGGAGTGGGGGGCGGGGAAGGGTCTCCAGCACAGATGTGGAGCTCCACAAACCCAGGTGAATGGAGAAGAATGGACGCGCCCGACTGCTGGGCCGTAAATGACAGTGAAGGTGAGCTGCAGGGACTCTGGGGACAGCAGCAGCTTTTCCACACACACACGTCTACCATGGGAAGGCCAGACACCTGCCACAGCCCTTGCATGGAGGGCTGCGGGCTCAGGCCCCAGGCTTACTTCTGCATTCCACTCCAGGCCAGCTGCAAGGCTGGGGGCACGCAGGAAGGAGCTGGGATCAGCCCAGGGCCCACTTCCTACACCCCTGGCTCCAGGCCAGAGGAGGAGAGCGCTGTTTGCCCTGGCCCCAGGGGACAGCAGGCATGGGAGTGAGGCCAGATTGCAGGCAGCCGACAACAATCTGGTCCTGGACTTTCGCTGGAGCTGCTGGGGAGAGGGCCCCCTCGTTCTGCTGGGGCTGTTAAGCTGGTGGGAGAGGACCCCATGGCTGCCAGCGGCTGAGAGTCGCCACAAGGGGAGCTGGAGCCGAGCCAATGCAGCTGGGAGCAAAGTTGGGGGTGGAGAAGGAGCGGAGGCCGGGGGTGGGGCTGGGCTGGAGGCCCGCAGTCAGCAGGCCCAAAGCTAACCCCACCTCCCACCCTGACTCTTCAGTTAAGCCAGCAAATGTTGACTTTTGCTTAAGCCAGCCTGAGCTTGATTTCTGCCCCTGGTCTCTAAGCACCTCTGGCCTGAAAGGGGAGGCCTAGCCACTGCAGACTTCACTACACACACACAGTCGCCTGGAAAAGAAACCCAGGACGGGCCTCCCAGGGAAGACAGGATGCCTGCTTGCTCTTCACAGCGGCAACACCACCTGATACACCATGTGTGCGTGTTTGTGTGTGTGCGGGCATGCAGGGTTAGGGTCTGTCGGCCCTAGTAAGACACCAACTCCATGAGATGGGACGCCTTGCCTTGCTCCCCTCCTGTCCCAAAGCCCAAGAACAGTCCTGGGCACCCTGAAGGGACTCAACAAGTACCTGAGGGAGCGACGAGTAAGGGAGGGGCACTGAGAAAATGAATGCCATGCCGGGCTGTGAGGAGGGCCTGAGATGGAGAAGCAGCATGCAGATGGCAGAGGAAGAGCTCCTGGTGCTGTGACTAAAGGCCCATGGCAGGGGCTGCCCGGGGGCCGCCGGGGCGGGGTGGGAACAGAACTAGTTTTGGCAGGAGGCTGCCTGTGGTTCACGGGGCCTGCCCTGTGCCTTCTGGAGCAGCTGGGGGCAGAGGGCAGCGAGGGGTACACAGGGATCTGGGCTCTGTGAGTGAATCCACCCTCCTTACCTCCATGGTTGCGGCGGAGACCTCCCGTCTTTTCCTGCCTCTACCCTCACCCCTTGGGGTGGCCGCCAAAACCACTGGTGTGAAACTCACGCTTACAACCTGGCAACATCCTCCCCAGCTAGAAGCACAGGCCCTCTGAACAGGCCAGCCCCGCCGACCACGACTGGGAACTGACGAGCCCCGGCCCCGCGTGCCCCACGCTCCTGTCACTTTGGGGCTTTCACCTGGCTTACTTCCTCTGCCTGGAAGACAGTCTCACCTTCTCTTCCTCAGGTACAGACACTGCTTCCCCCGGGAAGCTTCCAGTTTGAACTGGGCTCCTGAGGCCTGCTCTGCTTATATCTGCATGGGTGACACCAAGGCTGCGTGTCAGGGAGCCTGAGGGACCACAGACAGCCCCCAGAAGAGCTCTGTGCACCCCATCAGCCGGTGCGTGGAGGGTGAGAACTGTCTGCAGTGTCTGCACTGAAGCCCCTCTGCCCTTCTCCATGTGGGAGCACCAGCCGCATTCAATCACGTAAGCAGACGAAGCCCTTGCTCTGTGCGCGGCACCATGGGATGAACGAGGACGAGGAGGCTGGGGGCAGAAAGCGTCAGGGGAAAATGTCTCCCAGAAGTGAGAGTGTGTGTGTGAGCACTGCTGTGTCCATCTCTGCGTGTTCAGAGCCAGACGCAGGCTCACACACGACATGTGATCGATGCATAGTTATGAATGAGCGGAACGCTGCCACTGGGGCCAGGGAGGCCCCCTTGGATGGCAGGATTGGCAACCATGAACCTCAGTCAGTTCTCCATCATAAAGACAGAGTACCAGAGCCACGCGAGTTTCGTTTCTGCTTACTCACTTTAGGGCCCCAAGTCTGTAACCTGTAGATCAGTCCTGACTCCACGACAACACACACGTGCCCCCTTCCAGGCAGCCTGGTCTTTAACTGACCCACGTCACCACTTGTGCCGTCACCACATGAGCACCTTCACACAGGAAACTGAAATCCAAGTGTGGGGAAGGAACGGGGACAACGGCAACAAGGCTCCTAAGACATGCCTGAGACCCCAGCCCAGCTCTGCTTTCATAAGTGAACTTCCAGATGTGTAAGCTGGATTTAGAAAAGGCAGAGGAACCTGAGAACAAACTGCCAACATTCGTTGGATCATAGAAAGCTAGGGAATTCCAGAAAACATCTACTTCTGCTTCACTGACTATGCTAAAGCTTTTGTGCAGATCACAATAAACTGTGGAAAATTCTTAAAGACATGGGAATACCAGACCACTCTACCTGTCTCCTGACAAAACCTGTACGCAGGTCAAGAAGCAGCAGTTAGACCCAGACATGGAACAACGGACTGGTTCAAAATTGGGAAAAGATTACATCAAGTCTGTATATTGTCACCCTGCTTATCTAACTTATATGCAGAGTACATCATACGAAATGCCAGGCTGGATGAAGCACAAGCTGGAATAAAGACCAGGAGAAATATCAACAACGTCACATATGCAGATGATACCAATCTAATGGCAGAAAGTGAAGAGGAACCAAAGAGACTCTTGATGAGGATGAAGAGGAGAGTGAAAAAGCTGGCTTAAAACTCAACACTGGACTGCAAGGAGATCCAACCAGTCCATCCTAAAGGAGATCAGTCCTGGGTGTTCATTGGAAGGATTGATGTTGAAGCTCAATCTCCAATATATTTGGCCACCTGATGCGAAGAGCTGACTCACTGGAAAAGACCCTGATGCTGGGAAAGATTGAGGGCAGGAGGAGAAGGGGAAGACAGAGGATGAGATGGTTGGATGGCATCACTGACTCGATGGACATGGGTTTGGGTAGACTCTGGGAGTTGGTGATGGACAAGGAGGCCTGGTGTGCTGCAGTTCATGGGTTCGCAAAGAGTCGGACACAACTGAGCGACTGAACTGAACTGAAAATTCAACATTCAAAACACTAAGATCATGGCATCCAGTCCCATCACTTCATGGCAAACAGAAGGGGAAAAAGTGGAAGCAGTGACAGATTTTATTTTCCTGGGCTCCAAAATCACTTCGGACAGTGACTGCAGCCATGAAATTTTAAAAGACACTTGCTCCTTGGAAGGAAAGCTATGACAAACCTAGAGAGCATAACAAAAAGCAGAGACATCACTGGGCCGACAAATGTCTGTCTAGTCAAAGCTATGGTTTTTCCAGTGGTCATGTATGGATGTGAGCGTTGGAACATAAGGAAGGCTGAGCACCGAAGAACTGATGCTTTCGAACTGTGATGCTGGAGAAGAGTCTCGAGAGTCCCTTGGACTGTAAGGAGGTCAAACCAGTCATTCCT